CCACCCCCTGCGCTTGATAAGGAGCAGTATTTAAAGACACCACTTGTGCCCTGATCTTTACTGTTTATAAAGATTTACTTTTTACCTTTACTATTGTCCCATAGATTTAATAAGGATACAGTAATCATATACAAACCAAAACCATTAATAAAGACAAGGTGTATAGACAGAGATCAATTGGTCACTTGCAGAATTTGTTGCTTGTCGTTGGAATTGCTAAATTTAACCACTATATGTCTTGGAGTTTAAAACATAGAAGTCTCTCTCTCCCTCTCTCTCTCTCTCTCTGTCTCTCTTTATCTCCTCCCCCTCCCCCCCCCCCCCCATTAAGTCTGGATTTTTTAGACTGGTGCTTTGTTTCCTATTTTCATAAGTTCTAAGTACTTTTCTTATATTATTTCCTGCATTATGATGTCCAGGTTTTTTGATTTGTCCCTTTCTTCTGGTAGACCAATTGATCCTTATCTATATACCTTGTCTTTATTAATGGTTTTGGTTTGTACATGAATTTAAAAAAAAACTTTCTTGCCTCTTGCTCCTTTTCTATCAGATTTTTCTCTCTACTTTAGTATTTTTATATTCTTTACAGCAGTCATATATTTATATATTTATATTTAATATTTTTATATTCTAATTATTACTCTTTAATTTCTTTGAAGAAATTCTCCACTATGGATTCAAATTTTTTTTTAGTCTTATTGCCAAGTTTTATTTGTTTTTTTTTTAAAGCATTTAGAGTTATAACATCTGACATATTCATTCCTAATTTCTTCTTGTGGATTTGTCTTTTGAATCATCCTTAAATTTTTTGTTGTTCCATGCTCCTTTGGGATTTCCCAGTATCCAGTGTTTCATTAGACATTGGTTAATATTCTTCTTGTAATGTTTATTAAAAGTTTTGTAATCTCCTTGAGGATTTAGTACTTATTTTTCTTTCTAGTTTAGGGATCCCCTCTGTAGATTTATCTGCTTGTGCTCTGGGTTTTGAGTTTTGAGAAGTCCTTGGTGTTTCAGCCCTTTTACTTTATGTTCCCATTTCACTCACTTTATGGCTATACACACCATAGCTGTACACACCGAGGTTGAATGGAGAAGTTGTCTCCGTCTCCTCCCGCTTAGGTTTAACTGTCTTTGTTTACAGTCCTTAGCCGATCTAGACCTCTGGGGTCCAGGACTGTTTCCTTTCCTTCTGACCCAGGGAAGGGACTCATGTTGGCCCTCTTCCCCATTCTTTTTTGCTGGGGTGAATAAGCATCTGTTATTTTTTTAAAAGGTTGTAGGAAGGTGTTCCAGAGTCTCTGCAACATTGAGCTCCTAACCTAGGGACCACCTCAGGCAGAAGGTAGCTTACTCTACCTATTCTCATATGGATAGGCAAAATTAGTGTCTGCTGCTTACTGTGAGTTTGGGGATGAGCAGGGAATAAAGGGTGCTAGCTGTCTTTGAAACAGGAGGAGATCCCATTGTGAGCCCTAGACACAAGTCCATGGGTCAGTTTGTGCTAGTGGATCCCAGCCAGGAATGTGAAGGTTCATTGGGGAGGGGTATTGAGAGAGTGCTGTAAGAGTGTTCTCTAGTGTCAAAAAGAATATTTTACTTTGTTGAAGTTTATTCTTTTTGGTCTGTGGATTCAGCTGTAATTGCTTCAGATCTGGCACACAATCCTTTAGGAGAGGGTGGAGTTGTGAGTTAGTGGGCACTGGGAAAAGTGTCTAGTTCATCATCATGTTAGCCATGCCACGTGACCTAGAAGTGAAGCTTTAACCTTTATAATAAAAATTTACAATTCAGACTAGATTTAGTAAACTGGCCTCCTTTTGTATGATGTGAAGAAATGTTTTGCTAAGAAAACTAATATTACCTTCAGTAATAAAAACATTCTAAAATCTTGTTCACAATTTGAGTATAAAGCTCCACCCTTTGAACATCATCATCAATCTGTGTATTCGGCTTAACAATAAAGATCATTACCTCTCCATATATTCTTGGTTCTTATTCATGTCATCCCATAAACTGTTCACAGGGAACCTACTCAAGGCTCTGGGCCTTTCTCTAGATTTCTATTACATAGGAGGTAGAATGGCACCATGGAAAGAGCTTTGGCTCTGGAGTTGGAGGATGAGTTTAGCAGTCTTCTGGAGTTTACTACTGTTGTATCCTCACCCTCTTGAACCCATTTCCTCATTCATATAACAAAGGGTGTCTAGCTCTAGATATATGATCTCATGACACCAGTGGAAACCAGTGACTATGAGGCAGCTGTCTCTCACAACATGTTCAGTCCATCTCCTTGTCTAACTGTCTATCTCTAAAACTATCCATTGTATGCTTCTCCTACATGATTCTTTGTTGTAATGAGTCACTGCCTATTCATGTCCACCATTCACCTCTTCGCCCTTCGGGTGATTTTGAAGATTTCGGTTTTCTATGAGCTGCAACCAGAAAGCATCATTTTAGTCTATTAAATTCTTCTTAGTGATTATACATCTCATTTAAGAACCTCTTCATTGTCCCCAGTCTTGACATAATCAGCACAATGCCTTCTGCAAACAGGAAGACTTCATTGTACAGACATTTTCTGATACCAGAAAGATGTGGAATAGAGTTTGCAAAAGTTTATGTACTCCCTTCTCATACCTTCTTCAAGGGCACCCTCAATAAGGTTGCTGCTTATTCTGATTAAAAATCTTACAGAGATGAAAAATATGGGTTGCTAGTTAATATTATTATAGTTATGGTGAAAATATGGGTTACTAGTTATTTTCTCAAATTTTTTTCCAATAGCAATAAGGAATATTTTTCTTCTATTTATTTTAAATATCTTGGGGATAAAATAAACCCCAATGCTTTCAAAGATCTGCTTTGAGAATATGTCCTATTTTGAGGGATCTTTCGCTTTGTCTTCTGTAACATCAGGGGATGTTAGTCAACAAGCATTCCTTGAACTTTTACTATGTGTTAGGTATTGTGGTAGGGACTGGGGACAGAAAGGCCAAGACAGTTCCTGTCCTCAACGACCTCACATTCTGATGGCGAAATGATGTGTAAATAGGTACATGCAAGAAAGAGTAGATGGAAGATAATCTCAAAAGTAGATTAGGATGGGGTGGGGAGAGAAAGCTCAGGAAAGGCCTATAAGATTTGAGTTGTCTTAAAGGAAGACAAGAAAACTCAGACATGGATGTAAGGACAGAGAATAGTTTAGGTAAGGGGGACTAATACAAAAGTCTTGGAACAGGAGATAGCATATCTTGTGTGAAGAATAACAAGTAGACCAGTGTTGTATTTTAGAGCATGTGGACTAAGGAAGGTGTAAGAAAAGGCAAGGTTCTAAAGTTTCAAATGACAAATACTTAGCCAAGAAGGGAAGGAGAGATGATGTGGGTATGGTTGGACTACGTAAGTTTTTTTTAAGGATAAGCATATGAGTGTTTTTTAATTATGAGGAGACGTGTGCATGTTTGTAAGGCAGCAGAACCAGCAGAGGGAGAGATCTAAGAATTAGTGGGAGAAATCTGTTGGATCCAAATCTGATTGCTCTGTCTATGGAATAAGAACTTTTGTAAATCTTAACATACATATTTTCCATTTCTCATCTTTGTTGTGAACTGATGTTCATACTTAATTCCTTTTGGGACGATCAGATTTAATTGGATCTGTTCCCAAGGTTTTGGTCAACTTGCTTCCTTTCACTGATTCTCATTAAGTAGTATTGCTTATAATTGGCTATTACATTTTTATTAAATTGAATGGTGAAATTCAGCCCCACTTCTATATCAACGTGAATAGATATGTTCTAAGCTCAAGGAGTTTAATCTAGTTCAAATAGTTACATTTGCTTAAGGAGTCATTCCTTAGTGCCAGAAGGAATAACTATATTGCAGAAATTTTAGCCTGGAGGAAAGATGATCCTAGCTGAATGATAGAACTGTTTTCTATTTCAAACTTTGTAAGGTTTTGCCAACAAATCTACGTTCTCAACTGGGGCTGCCCTTGACTACCACTTTTTATTTACTTGGCAAGTATAAGTGCTCATTAGCTGAGTGGCAATTTGTAGTATTTTCTGTAGGTCTCCTCTGTAATTTTTTTACATTGGTTAAATTTCAATCTGAATGGTGACAGTCTGTGTCCATATCAGGTTTTTTATCCATCTCCCATTTTCCAGCATGAATAGCTTGTTTAGATCAATAGGTTAGGTTGGATTATCTCAATTAAGTATCTCATTTATATTATTTTGGCATTGACATTGATTTCTGTCCTAAAGTCAAGGATGCATAGAGAAACGACTCCCCCACTGTTTATCAGAATAACAGCAATTTTTTTGTGTGTGTGAGATTGTTATGTGTAGTACTTCCTGACTCTTAAGTATCTGTGGTGCAGACATGAGGTTTTTATGGTCTATAAAGCCTCTAGTTCCTGTTTCTTCTTGCCAAAGCATGTTTCCTAACATTTTTTTTTTGCCAGTTAATCTCTGCACTGAAACCATATGGCATGTGTTCATTTAATTTAAAAGGTTTTAAAGAGTTTTTTGCAAAATTTCTTTACCTCCTCATTGACTGGATATACAATAGATAGACAAATATAAAATAAGAATTATTTGATCATTATCTTTCTGGGCATTTACTTTAATTCCATTTTAGAATCATATTTAAAAGTAATAATAAAACATTCTTTTAAGGTATATTTTACAACTCACTATTTTAAAATGAACTTTCTTTAATCAGAAGCTTCTGGCAATTCAATTTGCAGGTAGATTTTAGATACATTACTCATAAAGTGATGCTTTGCCAAATCAAAGTTTTATTTTTGTGGTTTTAACATTTTAAAATTGTTATAAAAGACTAAAATTTTTTTCATAGATACTTTAATCTTAAATCCCAGGACTTAGACATTACCTTTTAAATCAAGATTGTAAATACTACTATCATGTGTTGTTAAAGCCAAAAACATTTGTGGAGAATTATTACTTTTTGAAGTTACTTTTTTTTCTTTTATGATAGGCAGAAAGAGTACAGAACAAGGCCTGGGGATGTCAAGGTTACCAGTGTTCTCGATCCATGAAAAAAATTATATTAAAGGCACATTTGACTTCTTGGGATTAGGTCACTTTACTACTCGATATATCACAGAGAAGAATCACCCTGCCCGTCAAGGGCCCAGCTATCAAAATGATCGTGATATAGCAGAATTAGTTGACCCAAACTGGTCAGATTTAGGCTGTAATTGGCCACATTTGGTGCCATGGGGATTTAGGAGGCTCCTCAACTTTGTTCAGGTAATTATTGTAATGCATCTTTTATAGGAAGTTACTAAAGATCCTTGTTCTGATAAAAACAGACAAAAATTGTATATAGCCCTCTTCCAACTCTTCTCTAAACATAAAATATGCTTCTTGGTATACATATAAAATTATAAATACAGTTAGGATATTGGTAGGTTCAATCAAGAGTACAGATAGTTACATGCTGCTATGACTTCTCTGACTCAAAAGTCAACATTTTATATATTCTCTACGTATTTTTTCCATCTGACCCCCAACACCTTCCATAGCTGGTTCAAACATTGTCTTTTCAGACTCAATATGGCAATCCTCTCGTATACGTGACAGAAAATGGCGTGTCTGAAAAGCTAAATCATATTCAGTTGTGTGACGAGTGGAGAATACAGTACCTCAAAGGATACATTAATGAAATGCTAAAAGGTAAGGGGTTTTTGTTTTCATCTAGGCATTCTGGTGACTCACAAACTCATCATGGGTCAACGATACCACATGGCTATTGAAAGAACAAATACTACCCTAGAGCATGATCAGAGAGGTACAGTGTCTAGACATAAGAAATAATCGCATTGTACTCGGCCCTGATGAGATGACGAGTATAGTATCATATTCAGTGAGTGTCATGTTTTAGGAAGGACACTGATAAAACGAAGAGCATCCACAGAACCACCAGGACAGGAAAAGGCCTCAAGATCACAACACATGAATTATCAAGAGAAGGGACTGAGGACATTTATCCTGGAGAAGACAGGGGGAGAGGGAGAGCAGTTTCATAACAGAGCATATTTGCTTTCAACTACACGAGCAGATGTCATATGGAAGAAAGATTGGATTTGCTGTTTGTCCCACAGGGCAGAACCACAAAAGCAGATTTAGGTTAGCTATAATGAGAACACTTCCAAGCAGTTAAGAGATGTCCAAAAGTGCAGTTGCTCTGGCTCAGGAGGTCATGGGTTCTCCCTCACTTGGTTGCTTCAAATGTTCAAGACCATTTAGTCAGGATGTTATAGAGGTGATTCTCCAAAAGATAATCTCAAGAGTTCACAAGGAACTCAAAAGTCAGCTAATACATTTATACCTGAATAATTCCCTCTGAGCTAAATAGAGAGTAAACTAGATACCTTTCGTGGCCCCCTGAAATTCTTGATTCTATAAATGTTTAGCATTTGATAAAATTTCAGGAAATGTAGTTTTATACATATTTTCACTTAACTATATAGGCTGAAGTAAATGTTAAAATTATTTTTAATGGAAATTTGTTTTCAGCTATAAAAGATGGTGTTAATGTAAAGGGATATACTTCCTGGTCTCTGCTTGATAAATTTGAATGGGAAAATGGATACTCATACAGATATGGATTCTTTTATGTTGAATTTAACAACAGGAATAAACCTCGATATCCTAAGGCTTCAGTTCAGTACTATAAAAATATCATCAGTGCAAATGGATTTCCTAATCCAATAGAGGTGAGATGATCGGATGTTCATTCTAACTCATAACAAGGCAACTACAGTAGATGGCAGCAGGTATTCTCTTCCCTTCTATGGTTATGCAGAGTCATCAGAGCTTTGATCCTGCCACTCCTCTATCACCAGTTCCCAAGTTATTAAATAAGTCAGGACTGGAACAAGTCTTCTCGATCCCCAAGTCTATATTCTGTCCATAATGCCACGATGTCGAAAGTGAATACCATTTAAAAAAAATCAAATACAAACAATACCTACTCACGAATACAGATAGTTTATTGATATACTAATAACAAAAAGACAATTTAGCAATATACGAATGGTTATGTGGTAAGCTAACTAAAGCAAAGGACATAACTACTGTTCTCTATGATATTTCTAAAAATAAGATACCTTGCTGTTTCTGAATCAAGATTGTCCAGTCCATCCCACCAGATGGTTCCAAAACTTTTGGTGGGGAAGATATATTAAATTCTACTTTTAAAGGTTTTAAAGTTTTTATTGGGGGACTATAAGGTGAGAAAATAGCAAAGGAAAAGAGATATTTTAAAATGTCACACACTCTGTTCTATGATTAATGAAAAACACAGGAATTAAAAAAAAATACAAAGAGGCCAGTTTTGGTTTTTTTTTAGATTTTAAGCAACTTGAGAGCAGCGGCTTTGTTTAGTTTCAGCTTTGTACTTGTACACCTAGCACAATGTTATACAAAACAGAAGGATAAAATACAACCTCCTCTGTTTAACATTTAAAGCCCATCACAATTAGGCTTCGGACTGTTATTTCCATGTTGGTTACACCATGATATCCAAATTGGACTATTTGCCATTCCTCACCTGTGACATTCCATCATATACCTTTGTGCCTCTGCTATAAGCTGTTCCCCATGTCCGAAATGCTGTCCTTCCTCACTTGCACATTTTAGAATACCTAGTTCTCTTTGTGGTCCTTCAAGAGGGCTTCCCTGATAGTTGTCAGCACCACCCCAATATTTTTTATGTATCCTGTACTTACTTATCTGCGAAAATACTACACCTCTCCAGGAGAACTCAAATTCCTTAAGGGCAGAGGCGGTCTCATTTTTATTTTTGTATAACCTGAAGGCAAGGAACAGAACTTTTTTTTAAACATTCCACACCGTACCCTGCACAGGGAGCACTCAGTTAAGTATTTGCTGATTGATTTAAACAGGCTAAAACTTTGACTATTGTGAAACTATTACTTATCAAGCTAATCTTATCAGGTGGAAAGATGGTACAGCATAGCCACTGAAACCTGTTCTACCACCAACCAGATCCTTGCTGCAGGTAAATATTTTATCCTTTTCTTCGGCTCACTGACATGATCAGATGCAGAATAACATAATCATGTTTCTGAAGTCAGTTTCTAACATCTATTTAAAATAAAAACAAATTCTTACTTTACCTATAAGCAAATGCTAAATTGCTAATTATAAAATCTTAAGTGAAAAAGAACTGAAATGAAATTAAATGAAATGAAAAAGAAAATAACATAATTGCTATAAATCCAAAAGACAGTATTTCTACACTACATTGCTCCTAATAAATCAAACTGATGCATACTGAAAGCCAATGAAAACTAACAAACTTGTGGTTTTTACTAGTTGGACCTTTTTTTTTTTGAGGAAGTGGGTGATATAAAAAATGGCAAACTGAAAACATACAAAGGATTGCACGTCAGCATTTCTAATGCAATGGTAACTAAAAGGATTATAGGTAAATCTGTGTCTAAACTTTCGAATTAGGAGGTTTAGGTAAAAACTCACCCAGAATCTATGTAAAAAAACAAAGTATAAGAAACCATAACTTACTAAAAGAAACAGTATTTCTTGCTCTGGATTTTAATATGTTTAACTCAGCATAAGCATAACTGTAAAGCTAGCCTGTCATTTAAAAATCTGCTAAAAATGTCTATTTGATATGGAAAATACTGAATCACATTAAGGCACCTATTTGGAACACAGGAGCTGTTAAGATAAAAAATAGAAAATGAGATAGTACAGTATTAATATCAAAAAGTAGTGTTAAATATTCCAATAGCATAAATACAAACTAATACTGAACTCCCTACTAAGCTGAAAATATACTCTAAAGGCATTTACTGTTCAATTACTTAAGATGGTACACTTAACATCTAATACTTAACATAATTCCTCACACAGTCTGTTTAACTATACTTCTATTATTAACAATGCCATCTTTAAACGGTTCTAAGTGCTTCCAAGGAATTTTCTTCTGGCAATTTTCCTTATTTCTTCCCAAGTCTTATGTCTCCTTTTCCCCCTCTCCCCAATGAGAGTAAGAGGTACAGTGTAATATTTTGCTAATATTCAGAAATGGATTCACAGACAGAAAAAAATGAGACTTTGCATGCTTTTAAGAAGCAAAGATATGTTTTAAAACTTTTCTAAATTTACAAGGCATTAAATCCTAAGTACTTTGCTTTCTATTTTCTATAAATCATTTTAATGAATGCTGATACACTTAATTCTCAACATTTAGCTAATTATTTAGGTATCAGTTTATAGTAAATATAAATAGCTGAAAATGTGAACTAATCTTTTTAAGGTTTTTCAATACTATTAACCTTTCAGTAAAGCTACATTAACTGAAACAATGACATACTGACTTATGGTCCCTGTCTTCTTACATTTCAGAGCCCTTGTTACATCACATGCAAATGGTTACAGAGATTGTGGTGCCTACAGTCTGCACACTATGCATACTTCTAAGTGCAGTTCTACTGACGTTCCTTCTTCGGAGGCAAAGCTAAGAAAAGGTTACTTATAAAAGGTTACTAACAAAATAGCTTCATTCCATATAAAGTTTAGTGTCTTCATCTTCATTTGGTTTCAAAGGCCTGCAGAGTTTCCTTTTTGGTTACTGTGATGATAAAGAAATTATTTTTACATACACATAACTGACACCACTTCCAACATACAGTGTCATAAAAGCAATTTGGATTTTAGTCAACTTGTGTCTATTTCTTTAAAATGTTGCAAATACTATTCTTCAAACTGGAGAAAAAGCTAAAATTCATGTTAAAGAGATATACCTTGAAGTAACAAATGATTACGAAATCTCAGCCAATTCCATTCACTGAAGTACTTCAACTATTTTTAAGTGCTTATATTTCAGGTGAAGTTTATGTTTTCTCTTCAGTGAGAAATTCTGTTTCTTAAAAACATACAATGGTAACAAAAGAAAAAAATGGCTAATTTTTTTCTTTTAGAACATCATATCCAAACTACAAACCACATAATCTTTGACAAAGAGAGCCATCTTAGGGAAGAACAAAAATGTCAAGTCTTTTAGTTCCCATGTGAAGCTGAGTGTTATTAACTATCTAAACAAAGAATTCTTAAAAGACTTAAATTTTTACACAGATTATTTTGGTTCCTTTTCCTTCAGATCAAAATCTTTTTAGAATGGATACTTTGCATCTGGGACCTACACTAAATACTAAACTACTCAAATGAATCTTACTTCATTAAAGTGGGTATTCTACCCATTGACAGAAATGACTTACTTTTGCAAAATAGATGAGTGAACTGTTTATCTTCAGCAGAACTTTTTGATAAATTTCAAAACACTTTTTCAATTTTTTTATCACTAATTTATATTCTGACATCATATAAATATTCTTCTATCATGTTTAAGCCGTTTGCAAGCTTAAACTGTGAAGTCAAAATATTTAATGTTTTGTTTCTGAGGCAACTATAAAACCAATTTGTCAAGGTTAACCGCAATAAGTTAAAAGGCAATCAAAGCTGTGTGCCTAGAAATAGGCACAAGATACTTCTGGGATTCTGGATGATCTATAAGGTTCCTTCCAGCTCTAAATGACAGAATCATGAGTATTAAGTATTAGAAGGTTATATTAAACACAATAATTACATATTGCATTAAATCAGCACTACATTTTGTGAAGAACAACCTAGGAGGATTCCTGCTTGCAAACTTCAAAACATGAAGAAAAAAGACAACATAAATAAATACCTCTTACAAGATGATATCAACACACTTTAAGTGAAATGCACTTTGCTGCAGGCAACCATGTTAGTGAAATACATTTTTTCTTCAAGAATACTGTTGAATGCTGACTCAGACAGATCTGCAACAAAAATTAAATTTCAGTAACTAGAGAAGCACTTAAAAAAATGTTAAGTTCTGCCCACTTTCATAATTAAGAGAAAAACTGCTTTCATTCCACTGTAACATTCAAAGTTTGAATGACAAATGTATATACTACTTTAAGAAAAAACATCTAAAAACCTAAATTTACAAAGCAGTTAAACTAGAAGGTGATTAACTCGAATGAAAAAAAGATGCCTTCTTGGTACATTTGAAATATAACCCAATTTACTTAAATAATGTAGAGCAAAGGGGTAAAAATGCTTATTTTAATTCATTAACCCAATATCATAATCTTTATGCCACATTTAAGAAGGTGCTCTTTTCAATTTTAAAATTCATCAAGTATGATGTATTAAAAATTCAAATTCTTAGGCTTGTATATTTTCTATTATTACTATTACCTTTTCCTTAAGACAGGTAACAAACAGTTCAATTAGCATTTAGATAGATTCTAGCCATGGAACCTTCGATTTTCTATGTTATCAAGCATTTACTGCTAATCATCAGTGCAAGACACAATACAAAACCAGGCCATAATAATAATGATGATAATGGTAACTAGCTTTTCAAAAGCTCTTTAACGGTATGCAAAGCACTTTACAAAACATCTTATTTGACCGTCCCAACAAGGTACGGGATACACAGGCTAGAAGATTCTCCTCCCTTCCCTATGGTAAACCAGTTCAACTCTACGCTGAGCCCATTTGTACCCTTATCCTATCACTGATCATGCCTTTCCAAGCCCAAACTGTGAATTACTTCCATCTTGGAGATGGAGAAAAATCACAAAACCATATTGACTGGGTCCATATTTACATAACAATCTGAACTGGGCCTTCACTACAAAGTAGTCCTCTTTACAATTCCCTAATTATCCCACTCACGAAAACACCTTTTCCAAATTGTTTCATCCTTCCTCAAACCCTCCCTCCCTCCCTCAGCATCCTCTTAGCTGAGAGCCTTGCCTCAGTCTTCACTGAAAAAGCAGAGGCCAAATGACAAGAGCTCCCTCTTCTCCCAACCTCTTCAGATGCCTCCTGCTACTATTTCTTCTTTCACTCTTGTCTCACATGAAGAGGTGTCCCTTCTCTGCGCTAAAGCACGCATTAAGATGGATTCTGGCCACTTTATGGCCTTCTAAATTCAGCCTCAATCCCATTCCATCTTGTTTTCTCCAGGAGAATTGTGCCCTCTGTCATCTCCACTCTAATCTTCAATCTCGTAACCTACAAAAATGGCCATGTCTTTCCCCAAACACACATACACAAAAACCCTTTTCTCGATCTACCACCATCCCCAGTATTGTCCTCTATTTCTCCTGTTCTGTGGCTAACCTCCTCAAGAAAGTCATCCACACTCTCTGCCTCCAGTTTCTCTCTTCTAAAGCCTCTACAATCTGGTTTCTCACCACATTCTTTAGCTGAAATTTCTTTCCCCAACGTTACCAAAGACCTTGTAATTGTCAAATATAAGTAATGGTCTTTTCTTGATCCTTTGTCCAAGGCCACCTTCTTTTTGCCTTTTATCTCATTTGGTAATCTCATTATGGATTCAGTTCTCTGTGTCACAAGTTTGCTGGACAAGAAATTCTACTCAAAAGCTCAGTCTCAGGCTAGGAGTAATGGGTGGATATCATAGGAAGCAGATTTCAGCTTCATATCAATAAAAACTTATCATGTAGAATTTCTCCAAAGTGGAGTAAGTTGCCTCATGAAATAAAATTTTCAATCAATTCAAGTCTTCAAGTAGAGACTGACTGACTGTTTGGCAGGGATGTTATAGATATTTATGCTTCACAAAGGGTTTGAACTAGGTAACCTGTAGGTAGCTATAGCTAGTCAATACAGCAATGGACACGGGGTTGGAAAATCTCAAGTTTAAATCTGGCCTCAAATACTTAGTAGCTGTGTGAACCTGGGCAAGTCCTTTAACCAATTTGCCTCAGTTTACTCATCTGTAAAATCTACCTCTCAGGGTTGCTGTGAGAATAAAATGTAATAATATTTATAAAACACTTTGCAAAACAAAGTGCTATAAAAAGACTCCCTACAGCTATTGTTATTAGGACCTCCAAAGTACCTTTAAACTTTAAGATTCTATGATGTTAAAATAAAAGACATTTCATCCCAGATCCACAGAAATCATTTGTCTGGGAACCTGAAATCTCATCTTTTAGTATCACTATCAAGTTGCTAAAGCTTAAAACTACCCCAATATTTTTCAGATACCCTGTATTTTTCTAAGACAACCTTTACCCTACTTTTAAGACTGAATGTTTAGAAACACATAATTGAAACAATTTTTAGTGGGCTATTTACCTTTACTGGCTACAGTATAGACTAGGTATTTTAAAATCAGGCCTAAGAGCTACTAAAATCATCTTTATGAGTATATATTATTTTTCACTCTGTCTCAATAGTTTAATTAGTACAGTTCTAAACCGTTCATTACCTTGTTTGCTAAAATTCAGATGGCTTATTGATGGGGTGTCACTCAGTTGCCAAAGTGTTTTAACTTCCTTCTGTCCGCTATTTATTTCCACTCTCCATTTTTTTGGAGTCTCACTAATAAAAGAAAAAATAAAGAGAAAATAAAAACCAGGTTTTCATAAAGGAATTATTTCAGGATTATAAATGCTTACCTCTGATAGAAATTTTTTATGACAATTGGTCTGACTGGCAGCTGAAATGTATGCTTCTCATTAAGAGGGTTTCTCTTATAATATAAAATGCAAGACCTATAAAAATAAAAGTGAAAAGATTAAGGTCCATTTTAAGATAAATTTCTTAAAGTCTAAGTTTTTTAAAATGGCAACTGAATTATAAAAGTTTAAAGGTGGGAAACCTACTATAATTTGAAAAAAGAGATAAACTGTTGAACATAGAATCATGCTTAATACATGAACCAAAGGGAGAAAAATTAATTATGCCTAGTTAACTTTAAAATAAAGAGACAAAAGAAATGAAGATGTCAGCAAAGAGACTGAATTAGAGAAACTTCAAAGGACTTACATGATCTGATGCAGATTGAAATAGAACCAAGACAGCAGTTTACACTATGAGTACAATAATATAAAATAACTATCAAAGACTTAAGAATTGGGATTAACCGAGTGACCAATCACAATTACAGAAGAATAACAATGAATCATGTTTCCCACCCCTGGGGGAAAAGGCAATGGTCTAGAGATACAGAATGTGACATTTTCAAATATGGTCAATATGTGGAATTGTTTTGAGTAACTATTTGTTACAAGGAAGGGCTTTTCTTTTCTTCAGTATCATTACTCCCCCACTCAGTTCTTAACTATTTCCCCACCCCTCAAAAAAGCCCTTCCTTGTAACAAATAGTTACTCAAAACAATTCCACATATTGACCATATTTGAAAATGTCACATTCTGTATCTCTAGACCATTGCCTTTTCCCCCAGGGGTGGGAAATAGTTAAGAACTGAGTGGGGGAGTAATGATACTGAAGAAAAGAAAAGAAAGGAGAGATAATCTAATCACTGAAAAGTAAATAGAAAGCAAAATGAAGTTCAGCAGGGACAACAATAAGCAGGAAACAACTGACTACCATGTGAAACTTGAAATATAAAAACAATTTACATAGTAGTCTCTTTTTCTGTTCATTGTATAGGGATATATTTGTTGATATTTGTCAAATTCATAATAGAAGAAACATTTTAAAAACGAAGATGTTGAGGGAAAGAATATATATATGTGGGGGTTAAGGGGAAGGACTGGAAGTAAGGAACTAAATAAGAGCTCGTATAGATACATGTGTATACACTATAAGAACTAACGTCAGAATAGAGACTTAAGGCTTGCAAAGTGCTTTGCCTTTACAACAGCCCTGTTAACAGGGAATATAAATATTACCACCATTTTTCAGATAAGGATGAAGGAGGTTAAATGACTTACCCAGGGTTATAGAACTATTTAATGTGAAATCTAGGATTTGAATCCAGGTTTCCTCTTAAGTCCAATGCTCTTATAAAACATTTTATTTCCTATCTAACTTTGTAAGTATAAGTGTTTTCTTATTCTTATTTGCAACTGGGAAAACAATCTGCTTTCACTGAAATAATGAAGCGTAGATCAAAAGGTTCTACCACCCTCAGTTTAAGGTATTATTCTAGCTACATGGAAGCAGAATATGCTCCCTACAAGAACAATTCTGCATAATCTTTAGTCAAAATGAACACCACAGTCTATTTATGTTACAATGTGACAGTAACAGACTCAGTAATAATAGTTGACTGGTCACATCACCATACAGATACAACACAGTAATCAGTCTAACCAAAAGTTACGCTGACAATTGTCAGTCATTCTAATTCTATCACCATGGGCAGATACAGCCTGAAGGGTATTAAAACACAACAGTTTGAATTATTTCTGAAGACAACTGAAGCATCTAATCATCATGACAAAAAATTATCAGAAAATAATGACTACTTACTGTGCTAAAGTAAACAGGATTTCATGTGGAAGTTTAAGGTATACCATGCAACTGATGACAACTTCCAGGATGTGGTGCAGTTTCCTAACACGACGAACTTGTTCTTGTGTATCTAAGGATGTGGAAATAAAGTAATCCTGAAAGGAAAAAAAAGCAAAAGAAAAAAAAAATCGATTCTTTGTAAAGGAGCTAGCTAAGTATTGCAGGCCTAAGTCTGGAAGACTGAGGGTTTTGAGAAAATAAGGAAGACAGAGATATAGAACATATAAATTCAAGCATTATTCTTAAACTACACATTTTAAACAGTTTAAGTAAACCATTATAATATTCTAAGCAAAGAGGGAAAATGGCTTCTCAATTAAGTACCAAGAAATAACATATTTGGCCAAATATAGGCCACCCCCTGAAACAGACCATTTGCCTAAACTGAAGGTCTCTATGAAAGGGGAAAAAAATACATATAATCACTGAAAAATAAAACATTATAGTCATGCTTTTATCCAATACTTCAAAGGGGAAAGTGTTATCTTTAGATCAGCACAATCCCTTACAATTATAAAACTTGCTGCTCTGAGCAGGTCAGAAAGTAGTTTATGGGTATTATCACATCACGGAGAGGGGGAAAGAGGGAGGGAGGGAGGAGGAGGGGGAGAGAGGGAGGGAGGGAAAGGGTGAGGGGGGGAGAGAGAGAGAGTTGTATTTCCAAATGGATGTCCTATAAGCATCTTAGAATCAACATAACCAAAAGAGAACTCATTATCTTTACTCCAAAACCCTTCTATGAACCTCTCTATTTCTGCCAAAGGAACCTTAACAGTCCTCTAGTCACTTACATTCATAACCTCAAATTCATTCTTAATCCTAACTCACTTTCACCCTACACATTTAATTAGTTGCTAAATCTTGTTGATTCTATCTTCTCTTAACTCACAAGGCCACTATCCAAATTCATCATCTCTCACTTGGGGTATTACAATAGCCTACAAATTGGTATCCTCAATTCCCGTCTTGCCCTCTCCCAATTTTTCTTCTACACTACTGCCAATGGGACATTCCTAAAGCATAGGATGAGCATGTCATTACCCTTTTCAAAAAACTCTAGTGGCTTCCTGCTGTTTGGCACTTTTTAAAAATATCTGTTTGGCATTTAAAACCTTTTACAATTCAGCCTACCTGTCCAAACTTATTACACATTACTAATTTCTTTCCACATTCTCTATAGTACAACCAACTGGACTATTTTTGTCCCTCACATATATCACCTTATCTCCAAGCCTGTGCAGAAGTGTTTCCCCATATGTCTAGATTAATCTCATCATCTACATCTCTTAGAATTCCCTACACTTCCTTAAAAGGTTGACTTAAGAGATAAAACTCCTACATAAGGCCTTCCAGTACCCCTCATGTACTAGTGTCTCCTCTTCAAAATTTCTTTGTAGTTACTTATATTGTATACATGTTATTTTCCTCCCATAGAGGTTGTGCTTCTTGAAAGCAGGAAGTTTCTTTTTTATCTTTGAACCATCAGAGCCTGGCACAAAAAAGGTTCTTAATTAATGCCAATCAATTGATCATACAAAGTACTATTATAATATTTAATATCTTTGTGAAGTTGATAACGGTTAGTTTTTTTTTCTTTATAGAAACTAAACCAAAAGTACAGAGAATTGGCTAGTTTACACTAAAGCCCTTTAACCCTTGTTTTCAATCCATGCATTTCTGATTAGGCCTCTTTCAGAACACACAAATAAAACTAATAATATGAAATTAATCCCTCCAAGATTTCACATATGCTTCTATTTTGCACAATAGATATGGTCCTCAAATTGTACATATAACTGACAAAAGTTTAATACATGTGTAAAACTTTAAATGAATTCTATTTCAAGCACTTGAGAAAACAATATTTTGATTTACAATGGAAATAAACACACCTTAATTTAGTTTTTCTATAAGCACAGATTATCATACACAGTAAACTTTTATTTATCTAAAATCTGGACTGGAAAACGCAAAAACTTTTCTGCACTGAACTTTTATGAGACAAATGTCAAATAACTCAAATCTGAGATGTGTTTACAAAAACTGCCAAATTACATCATAGTATAGAATAATTTTCATCTCTTACACTTTCTACAGCTACCATACTGTATAATCAGATGAATATTCATAATAATGACCTAAGGCAATGCAAAAAAGAGTCTAAAAGAGCAAAACTTAAATCACAAACTTGTTAAATTCTATTATAATTAAGTGTATTTGGCTACATTCTAATTCTCTGAAAACTGGTAACCTATGTACAATGAAAATGTAGTACTAGCAGAACCAGATGCTCTCTGAGGTCCCTCGCAACTCTGATATTCTGTGAATCTACGGATTTTGTAACTTGATTCCCAACATTCTGAATAAACAGGATTTTCTATACTGAATTTAAGACAAAGTACATCTATATATAAATAATACAAAATTATAAAAAGTGCACAGCAAACTGGAGAATGTCAAAATAAACTCACCAAGTGGTTTAATGATGCAAGCTCCTGGCCTATTGAAGAAAATTAAATATATATGTAAGTGGAAAGCATATCCACAATAATAAAATCATAGCTCCTTAAAGTATTAAAGTAACCCTCTACATAATCTATTTGTAGATGTTACAATTTTAATGTTCTTCTACGAATTTCACAGTATTATAGAATTTCACAGTATTTATTATACTTAGTGAAATTTTTTTTAAAACAAAGATGCTTAAATCAAAAATGCAGAATTTTATACTAAATTAAGCTACAATTATACAATGCTATCATTTATTCTTGAAATTATTGTTTCTGTGTAAAACAATTTCTCAAATTTTTCAAGTGTCGGGTGTACTCAATCAACTCACATTAAAATATCTTACAAGACAATGAATGACAGACATGGAAAGAAAAAATTTAAGTATCTGAAGGATTGGCAATTAAAGATGGTAATGGGGAAATTAAGAGAAATAGAACAACAGCAGACTTACCTATAAAAAAGTTAATGTAATCTCTCTTTATTTTGTCCAAACCAACCTCCAAAAGCATTCTAATTGGAGTGGTACCAGTGAGTGGAACTATATCCATGGCTCCATGGTAAGACTGCTGAATGTGTTTACTAAGTAAACCACTACTCCCTCTGTGGAGCTAGAAATAAGACATCTCTTTTAGAATATTCATAAGATCATTTAACATCATTTGTTAACATCATTTGCGTGAATAAGATGTAAGGCAAAACCTCATTTAGATCCATGTTGGTAGCTTTCTGCTTAACTGAATTTATATTCACACAATCCCTACAACAAGATCATATCTATTCACACACTGGAAGTCCCGTCATTTAAAAATCATCCATCTTGAATATATAAAATATATACATACCCATGGCTGAACATCCCCACGTCTTAAACACTGTAAGATCAATGTAAAGCACTTCACCAAATCTTGGTATGAGGTGACACCTTGAAAACACAAGTTATTCCAATATCCATTTTTGTAGTTTTTGCAGTTGTTGTAAAAGAAATTTTTTTCTAGCCATGTCAGATAAAAGAATATTCACTTTGTCAATGAAAAAGAAACACTAAATTAAGTTAAAAATTAAGAATTAAAAGGTCTAATAAGCTGATAATAAAGCAAAGAAACCAAATATCAATATTCTCTACCATAAAATAGAATATTAAAGTGATTGTAATTCTGGCAAGACAGTACAATTAAAAAGAGCCCTGGATTTAGAGTTGGAGAAACCCGGGTTAGAATCCCACTCTGCCACTTATTAGTAAACCTTTGTTGACCTTGGTCAAGTCATTGGATCAGTATGGCTCTGTTTTCTCCTCTACAGAATAAAGTAAATTAGACTAAATGGTTGCTAAACAGTCTTTCCAACTCTGTAACAGAATACAAAACTTACTCATTCTCATTCTGCACCACAGCTGCTCAGCGAAATCCAGATCACCTCGTACTGTGAAAAGACACTTAATGGAATCATCAACTGCAGCAGTATCACATTTCAATACCTGAAAATGAATTTCAGAGAATGCTTCATTTACCAAAAATGTAATGATTTCTAGATCACCAGAAACAAATTTTAAAATACTGTTCCTTCCATATTTGCGCAACTCACTTATTAAGTTTAGCCAGACAATTTTAAAAAAGGGTATACAGACAGACATACACACTGTACTATTGTCGTTTGATCATGTCAGACTCATGACCCCATAAGACCTCTGTCCGTGAGGTTTTCTTGGCAAAGATATTAGAGTGGTTTGTTGTTTCCTTCTCCAGTGGCAAAGAGGTTAAGTGACTTGCCCAAAATCACATAGCTAGGAAGTTTCTGAGGCTGAATTTGAACTGATTTTAAGTCCAGTGCTCTATCTACTGTGCTACCTAGCTGCCACATTTACTGTACTAGAAGTACTTTTTTTTTAAAAACACATTTTGATTCACATAAGAATATTCAAGTCACTATATAAAAAAGCAACATTAGATGCTGAAAATAGTTCAAAAACTTTATTTCCAAAGCACATGTCCAAATTTTCTTTAGTATACAAATACTGGTTAAAGTACATCTGCCATTTGTGCTGATTAAAAATAGTGGTTAGGCAACAAACCCTTGTGCATTTCTCTGGCACTTTAACATAACCATTTATCTTCATAAATATACAATTTATATTACCTTTTAATTTATATTCTATTATACATATAATCATGTTATATTTATAAAGATAATACATATTTTAGAAATTTATCATGTAAATTTATCAGTTGCCTTCTGGAGGGACAAACAGTAACAGAACAGCTTCTTTAGGAGTAAAATAACCAGTTAGTCTGATTCCTGGGGAGAACTCCAAAAATGGGGTCAGGGAATAAGGGAAGAAAGACCAACAGGTAACTTTCATTGGCCTTTCCATGGAATACCAGGGCTACTCCTTTAAGTTTAACCTTCTTAAAACTTACAAGTTATCTGTTCTGTTTGTTGTTTTAAACTCCCACTTTCTGGTATTTAATGGTACGAAAACAGACACACAAAATATCCTATCACTAAAGACTAATAAGGGATTAGTTGCTATAACAGATCCACTTGAGATAGCATAAAGTAAAAAACCAAGCATACTACGGAATGATGAATTATCTGCGGAGATTCTTAACAAAAAGTCCACATACCTTGACTTTTTTTGCTGCATTATCAAATCCATCCAACTTACTCTTTAAATCTAAAAATGGAAAAATGGCATTAATGATTTTCTGTCCTGTTCCTTCCTCACTTTCAAAGAAGGAAAATGTTATCATCTTACCCCACCCAGATTAAAACAGTATACTGAAGTTGCTACTATTGTAGTCTAGAGTTAGAAGGGACATTAGAGACCACCTGATCCAAAGTTCCTTAATTTTACAGATGAGGAAGCAAGGCCTAGAGAGGTAAAAGCATTAGCCTAAAGATCTACGTGGTAGTAATGGTAGTATGGGTTAAACCTAGGTCTTCTGACCATAGTCAGTGTTTTCCCCAATATATCTTTCATCTGCTTTGTGACATACACTTTCTAAGTATAATACAGTATTATCACTATGTAACCAAATCTAAGTATTAAGAACTTCTGAAACTACCTCTCTTTTTACCTTTGCCACATAATACTGCAAAATAGAAACTCTCTCTTCCTTAGCCATGACAAACTTTAGACATATAGCATACTATAACAAAGTCCTGCTCAGACAAACTAAAATTATTTAAGTTGAATATGTATAAAGGAGCTAGAAACAAATACCATTGAGAAATTCCTGAACAAGGTCAACAGATGATTTAGCCTCCGTAGGCTCAGGCCATTCAGTAACACCAGTTGTCAATCCATCAGCCAAAGCCTATTGGCAGAAAATACACTGTTTATGCAATCAACGAATATTAATAACATGCTCAACCAACTGGAGGATTCAAAAAGAAAGTAAGACTTATGCTTAACATAAGACTGCACTCTGTGATACAGTTGGGGAGAAGACCAATACACATAAAACAATTAGAAAACAATGTACCTAAAAACTATTACCTGACCATACATAATTATACGTCACATGTATCATATCAAATTCCAGTTATCAGTAAGCACATTGTTCTCTAGTGTTTCATTTGTGTTACTTAAAATAGCTCACATTTCTTCCACAAAGTCCTATTCTTATGGTTCTTCATGGCATGGCGCTGATTCTGGGTTCTTGAAGATTATTTCAGTGGGAACTAAGCTCCAGTAGACTCTATTATACTGGAAAAACCTTTGTGTATAACCCCAGCAATAGAGTGTGTCTAGCACAGCTTAAGTATAGAAAGGCTCATCACCAGTAGCCAGCCACTTAGTGATGAAACAAACAAAAAACTGATCTTTGGTCTTAGGCAGCCTCCTTCTACAGTGATGACAGGAATGGTGGTAAAAGGGGTGAGAAAGTGCTACCAACTGCGGTTTTTAGATAGTCTATCAACTTTAACTTGGTTGTTAGTACTCTAAATGTGAAATTCATGTCCAATGACTAACAAGTAGACATACTATAGGAGGGATCAAGTTGTATCAATCCTGATATTCTCTCTAAAAATAAAATCAGAAGACAGAAGGAGTTGAAGCTAACTGAAATAGCTTAGTTTCTTCTTGCTAAAGCAAATAAGATATTTTAAAAATTTTACTTTATTTTTAGATTTGCATTTTCTCCTTTTCACCTCTCCTCCCATTGAGAAAGGAAAAAAAAAACCCATTACAAACATGTACAGTCAGAGCAAAACAAATGTGTACACTGTCTATTTTAAGGAAAAAAAATCTCAATCTTTACTTTGAGTTCATAATCTCTTAATCAGGAACTGGGGAGCATGTTTCAACTTGAATCTTCTGAAATTGTGGTTGGTTATTGTATTGATCAGATTTCCCAAAGTTTTCAAAATTGTTTGTCTTTATGATATTGCTATTATTATACAAATTGTTGTGGTGCTGCTCACCTCACTGCATCAGTTCATACAAAACTTTCCATGTTTCCATCCCCTTTATCATTTCTTATAGCATAATCATATTCCATAACATCATATATACCTTGCTCAGTCTTTTCCCAAATGACGGGCAGTGCCACCGACCCCCTCTCTCTCCAACCTCTCTTTCCCACCACAAAAAGAATTGCCATAAATATTTTTGTACATGTGGGTCTTTTTAGGAACTGTTTTTTTTACTGCACATGCAAAGGCAACAAAACATATAATTTCATCGGGCATTTGGTCAGTGAACACTGCAGTAGTCATGGTAAGTATTTATTAAAAAAACCCCAGAGAGGAATTGCATCAATTTCACATTTGATGTAAAGGGTGATACAGAGAAATTCTAAGAACTTGCTAAGATAATCTAAATTAAATCAAAATATGCTTTTATGCTTTGTGATAATGAGAAATATGTTAAAAGGCATAGGTATGGAATAAGAAATGAGAGGCAAAGACTTGAAGACTACAAAGACACCAAGCCTCTACATCAAGAACAATATGAGAAAAGATTTGGGAGAAGCTGCATAGGGTGAGCACTGAATAATGTCACACACACACAAGCTGATTACATTTTGATAAACAAGAAATTATATGCATTCTTTAAAGATCTGGATATGGTCAAACCAACTGTTAGATGTAAACCAATCACCAAAGAAAGGAGACCCAAAGAGCCTTACAATATGCCTTAGGGAACACTTTACTTTCCAGGCAGGCAGAGATAAGCAAAGAGAATCCTATTTAGAATATATACTCATTTGTAAAACTGTACAGAGTAGAACAGAAGATTTTGAATAATGCTGCCTCAGACTAGAAAAACAGTGAAAGGTAAAACTATTTTAAAGACAGTTGAGCGATACACTCAACTAAAATCACCCTGAGAGAATTAAGATGAAAATGCAAGATAGAAGGACAACAAAAGAAAAATGGAAAAGACCTACAAAGAGGTATAACAAAATTTTTTCTCAGAAGACAGCAGTCACCACACTTGGACTCAAACATCACAGAAGCTCACATTTGTATAGCACTTTAGTATCTGCAAAGAGTTAAAAACATCATTTCATTTGGTGATCACAACAAACCTGGGAGGTAGATGTTACATTACTATTTCCATTTTGCATAAGCTTATGAGGTTGAGTGACTTGCATAGAGTCACAGGGATAATGATTGAGGCATGATTAAAACGTAAGTCTTCACAATCAAGTTCAGCATTCTCATTTACTATGTTGTGGAAAGTATATAAGTACTTTCATATTTTGACAATTTTAACTTTGCACCCCATGTGAAATTTCACACTCTCCCAGAAGCAGTAAAATGAGAAATAAATCTTTGTTGAGTATGTGCTAAATCATCCAGTGACCCTAGTTTGAGAATCTCAACTATAAAAGAAACAGCAATTTTTATATCAATTAAAGATATTGTGGTAGTGATAATTTCACTGAAATATAAAATGTAAGGGGCAGCTGGGTGGCACAGTGAATAGAGCTCTGGCCTTGGAGTCAGGAGGACCCAAGTTCAAATCCAGCCTCAGACACTTAATACTTACTAGCTGTGTGACCCTGAGCAAATCACTTAACCCAGATTGCTTCACCAAAAAGCAAAAAAATAAAAAATAAAATGTAAGGAAGACTGCAATTTTCAGATCGATACTCACAATTAGAAACTTCAGTTCTCTATGCAGGTGGTACAAAGGGCTTCTAGGATCTCCAGGTTCCACTTTAATATTCTGAAAATCCCCCATAAGTTTTTATAATTAGTTACATTTCAAAGTCCTAAACATCACACACACAAAACCAATAAAAACTTAACCCTCTAATTCCACTGTAGTGTGCATGCCTGATGCTGTTAAAGGTAAAAAGGGTAAACAGACTAACTACAGCCAGAACACCCTGCTCACTCATACCATCCATGGATATTTCAAACACTTCACAACCCAGATATACTAACATGAACCCCAGCCATTACACCCTCTACCTTGATCCCCTACAAGAATTTTGTTATAAATGCTTTCTCTCTCCCCCACCCACCTGCATTACTAGAATAATCCTTTTTACATGCTCTTCTGTACTCTCTCATTGAATTTCAAAGGGCTATAAGACAGGAGAAATAAAAGACTAATAACATCAGGTCTCAATATTTAAAGTCAGTCACAAAACCCCAAACTATTTTTAATAGTCTCTCTCCCTTTCTTCCTAACAGCCTGGCTCATTGAGTCCCAGATTAACATTTCTAAATTCCAGCACCTACTCTCCTCTTTAAAGAACAACAGAGAAGAAAAAAAGAAAAAGGAAGATCCTTTTTTTCCACTTATGACTAATTTCAGAAATTCTATCAATTAGTGAAAGGCTCTCAGGAAATGAAATTTTAGGGTTATGAGAATTAGATTTCATTTTGTTTAAAAAAAATGCTATCTACTAAGTGATGGAAGGATCTCAGCAGCAAGACAAGCATTTCTGAATGATCAAAATAGAAAGAGGCCGTTCCTTATGACAAAAGAAATTTTTTTGAGATCCAGATAGTAAAAGGAGGAAAAAAATTATTTCTTACCAATACTGAAGCAGAGGTGAGAGGAGGTGTTTGGAGAAGCTCATCCACAGGACTCCATGAAATATCCAAACCAATAGTAGTGTGTGAAAAGGGAATGTTATCATCTAAGGGAGTGGATTTAAACAGCTCATACTGAGCAAAACCCCTAGTTGTTACCTGAAAAGAAAAGCCTATATTAATCAGATAATTAAGAGTAAAGTCCACATAAGAGACTGGTAACAGAAGATACTTAATTTCTTAAGGATATCAAAATCAGACACAATACTGGAAAATGTTCTAGAGGAAGATAACAACTTTACAACTACTCTACCTACAAGTAAAGAAATACATTTTAAATTTATTTTTCTCCTAGACTACAAGTCATTATGAAAATTATGAAAACTGACATTATAAAAATAGTGCCAATTAGAAATCTTAATAAAAGCTTCCACAGAAAGATAGGTCTATATGTGTACATACACAGCCCCTAGTTTTAAACAAAAACTTTAAAATGACAGACAACAGTTACAATTAAAACACATACAGTAGATGACTTATGTCTTTTCAGGTGTGAACTTTTCAAATCTTCAAGATTTACAGAAGTGTTTTTTTCAGGTGTGGGACCTAGGGGAGGGAAAATTACAGATTAAAACCCCAGTTCAGATTTAGAATACTTAAAAAAAAAAAAAAAAGACTAATATTTCAAGGTAATGAGGATCCATACCACTGGATTTGGAGATGTAGGACCATATGTTTAGAGTAGGAACAGAGCCCAGAAAGTCACCCAACCTCCTCATTTTACAGAATAGGAAAGTAAGGCACAGAAAGATTGAGTAACTTTCCCTGGTCTAAATGCTGGCAGAAATTGCTAGAGGCAGGATTAGAGAACTTAGGTTCAAATTGTGGCTCTACTTTTTATAAACTGGGTGACTCTGTCTATATCAACCTCTCGGGACTCTAGTTTCCTAATATATAAAATGAGGAGGTTGGAAAAGATGACCTATATAAAGTCCCTTCTAAAAGTCTAGGATTCTGAAATTTTTTTTTTTTTTTTAAATCAGAATTACTATTTCCCTTCGACCAGGAATACCACACTATGAAAGGAATTGAACCCTTAATTTTTCTGTACTTTAATTGCTATGGACAAGACATTTTCCAAACAGAGATGGTTCATAGTTTGAAATAAATGAAAGCTGAATGTATCACCACTAATAATTATTTATCACTGAATGCTTACTGTGAGATTGGCATGACAACTATAGTCAATTTTTTCTCATCTTTCAAAGTTCAAAGAAAAAACTTATTGCTAAACTTTTGAGGCTGTTAATGGCATGGTTAATATATAACCTTAGAAAGTTGCAGTTAATAATCCTTAAAACAGCTCTAGATTTTTTTTCCATTTGTATGCTGTTCCCTCTAAAGTGATGTCATTTTTTTTTTTTACAATTACTTCATAACCCTTAAGATCTCACCTTTACATGTGACCACTTGTAAGACAATTCCTGCAATGCCCTTCTTTGTTCTAATAGGTTCAGCACCTAGCCAACAGGTACTTTCAGGATCTGAACTGTCACATTTTACCCATAAGGGAGGAAGAGGTTTAACTGGTCCTTTAATCTTCAAATGGGTCATATTAGGATTTTGGGTCATGGTATAAAGTCCAATCAGCTGCCTGGAAAACAGATTCAAAGAATTTTAGGTACAGACTGGGGTTCAAGTTGAAAATTATAATTCAGGCAAATTCTAAGTTTCTTATGAATATGTGCTAGATCATAAAGTATGTTATTTTAAAGTTGCAGAAATAACTTTTTTATGAATCGTTTTTTGTATCCCAGTGGCACCCAGGAAAGATAGCCAATGCTTAATATTTCTCAACTGATTCTTTTCTTTACAACAGCAATAGGAAATGGTGTTAGAGAACAAAAATTTTAGGCAATTAAAAAAAATAAGTCATGAAACTATTAAATTCTCCTAAAAGAAAAGAGGGGCAGGAAAGGGTTATTTTTTCATGAAGAGGAATACTTCTACCCATATCTGGAAAATTGGTATAAGTCATTACTACTAGAAAAACAGAAGTACAAACATACTGTCCTAGATATTTTTATATCTGTCACTTCAGAACTAATGTTGGGTGTGCAAATTGCATACACTGTTAGATATGGTCGTTGTCTTAGTTGGTAAATCATTTTTCTTTGTCATCACAAGATAAAGAGTCACTGGGAGAGGATTAGATGAAAATGACTGGAATTTTTAAAAGAACATCAATAAAACTTTAAAAACTAAATTAAAAAATTTTAAACCTCACCAAATTCACAAGGGTAAAAATTATGAATGAATGACGTTATCTGTTGTAGTAGAAAGAACACTGAAGAAAAACTGCTTTTGATTCCTGGCTCTGACACTTTCTTGACAATGAACAAGTTAATTAACCACTCTGAGCCAGTCTCCTTACATCCCAGATGGTTATGATACTTGTACTACTTAAGTCACGCATGGTTGTTAAGAGAAAAACACTACAAAGTTCTCTATCAATGTGAGTTATTCCTATGTCTTTTTCACTCCTGAAATTATTTTTGGGATCAATACAAGCACATTTTTTTTTTTGGTGAGGCAATTGGGGTTAAGTGACTTGCCCAAGGTCACCAAGCTAGTAAGTGTCAAGTGTCTGAGGTCAGATTTGAACTCAGTTTCCTCTTGACTCCAGGGCTGGTGCTCTATCTACTGTGTCACCTAGTTGCTCCAACAAGCACATTTTTAAAAAGTTCCCTCCTTTAAAAAAATTTAAAAAGGAAACTCACCTGGCTCTCCTAACAGGTAAAGCAAGTGGTCCAGAATTTCCATTCATGGGGAAATCAGAAATAACTGATTCTTCAGACTGTGATTCTTCTGTACGCTCCATTTCTTTTTCTTTCGAACGCTTTCAGAAATATTTTTAGCAGTATTAGATTAAGGGTCATAATTAAGACAACAGAACTGACTTTATCAAAACTATTAATAATTGAAGAAAGGATTGTCATGGATATCCAAGACAGAATAAAGGGCCACTACTTAGCACCACAAAGCAAAGGTATCTGATGTAAAGACTCAAACCCATTGTCACAAAACAGTTGATTGTTCAGAGAACCTTGCTGACAGGACCATTACCCACTTTCCTAGAATCCACCATCCATTTTTCATATGGCCACCAGAGGGAATAGGAACACTCTTATATAGCGTGATTATATCCTTTCTTACCAGCAGCATCCCTAATAAGAGGCTCTCTTCTTTTCCCAATCATTTCCACTGCTACCACCTAAGACTTATGGGGACTCCCTCTTTTGGCTCTAAGACAGTAGCTTTCCCTCTTTATCTGCACACCCTCAATCAGTCACAACCCACTGTGCAAGCTCACAACCTTGAAGAGCTCAAAAGCTGTTCAACCTCAAACCCTTTCTAGCCCAACTGCATGACTTCCCAAGAAGTTTGGCTTTTCTTCATAGTTCCACCTGTCATCAAGAACATTACTCCTCCCTCAGGTAGACTTACCTATTGATGATTTCCCATACCAATCTCAATGGCATGGGAGGATTCTAACATAAAGGAGCTATGTCTATGATAAAATACCACAAGTACCTGATGAGGGAAATGAATACGGTAATAGTAGGAAGAATCCTGGAATAGGAATCTAGGGATATAAATTCTAGACCCAACTATGTTCCTATGGAACTGTGACTCAGGACAAATCATTTTGCCCTGTTGACCTCTAGGCCACCTGCATAATGAGGGAGGTATGACTGCATGGATTTCTAAAGTTCTTTTTATCTCTCACTACAGCACCCTTATTGAAGTTTCATGGTTGGTTTTTCTCTCCTAGAGGATGGTGTAATAGACAGCATATAATGGATAGACTTGGAAGCACGAAGCCTTGGGGTCACATCCAGCCTCGTGCACTTAGTGGCTATTCCACCTTGGGCTAGGCACTTATCCTCACCTGTAAAATCAGAGGGCTGGACTGAATGCCCTTCAAGGTCTCTTCCAGGTCTGCATCATCGATCTTATGATCCCTAAGCTCAGGTTGAATTATACTCGAGGTAGTAACCAAGCCAAAAAGCATTCTTCCTTGGGGTAGCGGATAGAGCACTGGCCCTGAAGTCAGGAGGTCCTGAGTTCAAATCCAGCCTCAGACCAAATACTTAACATTTCCTAGCTGTATGACCCTGGGCAAGTCACTTAACCCCAACTGCCTAAAAATTTTTTAAAAATTAAAAAAAAAAAAGCATTCTTCCTGATCCTAAATGTCTCCACGAACTCTTTTTACCTTTAGCTGCTAACTAACCTGTCCCTATGTAACCCTGATTGGTTCTTGTTCTTCACATTTTTATCCCTCTTCCTTAGCCCTGGATTCAACCCCATCTTTCAACCACAATTATTTTCTTATCTATCTCCTGACCACCACAAATGAGTATTTCTAAAACTCCCTAACACAATATGACCTAAGTTAACCCCTGTATACAGCAAAAAAAAGATACACATTAAAGATACACACTTACAATGTGACTCTATGTTCCTAATGCTCCAAACCAACTGGAGGATACTAAGTATTCATAGGGAACAACCAGCTCCGATGATATAATTGCTATTTCTTTGCACTCTAAGGAAAAGTTACCTAACATGAACTGAAGTCCAGTCCCAAACCATTTGAAGAGTGGTATGGGCATTACAATGCTGGCTCCCATGGCACCCAAACAATAATAATTCTATTTTGCATTTTTTAAGCAGCCATTTCAACAGGAATTTTCAAAGACATGTGTATGTGACTGCTTTCCTCCCCCTGCCCCAGAAATACCTCTAAATACAAAGCTATTTACACTTGATCTCATTTCTCACTAGGCTGCACTAGTTTTGAACTTCTCTGAATTCTCCATCAGGCCCCAGGAAGCTCATTATTGGGAAAACTACCATTATCTTCAAAGATCACATCAGCCTTGAAACTCGACCTCATCACCACTCTCAGTTGAAAGGTGGAGCTATGGAGGGCGGGAATTCAGCTCAGAACACCTCATTTCTCATTTAGTTGAACTACTTTGGCAAGTCTTTGACTTTCCCACCATGCTGTTCCTCCTGCTCCATGTTCCTTCTTTTCTGTCCCTCCTTTTCAGCTTTGTTTTGGGCATTGTCTTCCTCCATTGGAGTGTAAGATGGTTGAGGGCAGGAACTGTCTTTTTTCACATTTGTGTCCTTAGCACAGGGTCTGGTGCATACTAAGTACATAATAAATCCTGATTGATCTAGAACTATGATATGAACTAGGTCAGGGCAAGATCAAGCAACTAAAATAGGAAAAACAAAACTACTCCAGTTGCAAAGCAGTTTAAATGATGACGACTTACAAATATTATCCTTGTTCTCCTACTTGGTCTTAGTTCTCCATAACTAACCTATCCAGGCCCACCATGCTGTTACTAGACATACTGAATCAATTGCTTTATGGTTCCATTCACCAGCCTGGGTTTTCCCAGTCCAAAACACCCTGACTGCACCACCACTTCCCTATATGTATTATCTTTATGAGATTTTAAGTTCCTGAGTTTGTATTTTCACCCCCCAGTACTTACAGTGTTTAGCACATCATAAGTGCTTAACAAATTTTTTCACCAATTCATATTTACATAAAGCTTTATAGTAACAAATAGCTTTACACACTCTATTTTATTCACTCATTGAAATAACCTCATGAGGTAGTTAGTTCAAGTATAATTACCCCCCACGCCACAGAGCTTCAGTGATTTGCTTAACAGATCTTGAAAACAACAGAGCTGAGACTCAAACCTAAAACTCCAAGTTCAGAATGCTACCCACTATACCATTCAATATAGAAATATCAAAGTGTCCTGGAAATTTATCTTGCTTTAATAATAGTTAATATGCACAAATAAAAGGAAAACTTTAAGTTAAACATCTATGAATAAGAATATAGAGCCACTATTTACCGAAGTGAAGATCTGAAATTTGCAGCACATTTGTGAACACTGCCAAAGTGTTCACATGTAATCATTAAGAATTAAACAAAAACCCAGACCCACTTACCACTTTCTCCATAATAAATCTCATGCCATATCTACTCCCAAAACCTTCTAAAGGATTTGCCCGATTTTCAGTAATCAATTTCACTTGGACATCAGTCTGTCAAAAATAGGAAATTACACTCACATGAGTAAATACACATTAAGGAACTCTAATCTCACACAGCAAAATTCTATTTTCACACATTTTAATATAAATGCCAGTTCTATGAAAGGAAAGGTAGAAAAGAGGACATGAATGAGGCTTACAAGTATTTTATGGAAGCTTCAAGCTAGAGTAAGAAGAAAGATGAATTAATTAGGAGACAGACAATTTGGACTCTGGTTTTACCTCTGCCACTAACCACCTATGTGTGATTTTCAAACAAATCATTTCACCTCTCTTGGCTTGCTTCCAAATGAGAAGATAAAACTAGATTATCTCCAATGATATTTATAGATCTAAATGTGCATGGTCAATGTTTAAAATTAATTTTAAAGTATCTCTTGCTTAAGCTCATCTTTGTGTCTAGGATATTCTTAATTTTCTCCTCATCAACACTTTAAAAGCTTTGTAAAGTCGATAACAGCTCTCCCTCTAACTCATTTTCTATTTGCTATCTTTACCATAAAATTAGTAACCATTCTTTCAGTATTATATGTTCTAGGAGTTTAACACATCTCTTTTAAGGTTAAGAGATAAATCTAGCTGATTCACCAACTATATGATGAATGCATGTGCATACATGTTCATACAGACAGTTCTGAAAGCTCCCTGGAGACCTCAAGACTGCCTATTTTACACATTTTATTTTTTTAACTTTCAGCAGCAAAGGACAAAGCTTGATTTATTAACTCCTAATAGATTAAATCCTAATGAATTATGCCCCTAATGGGGTGTAAGGAGAGTGGAGGAAAAAGGATTGGCATGTTTTACCATCTAATCTTAATGCTTCAAAAATACATTCTTCTACAAAATTCTTAGAATGAACTGAATATTTGCATTTTAAAATAGCTTTTATGGAATAATATTGGTTTTTATTCACTCCATAAAAATAAGCATTTCACCCATAAAAACTCTACAGAATTAAATTGTTACATTTTATATTTAGAGTATATTGTATAATTCAATGGAAACTAGGAAGACCATTATCTATCACCTACTTTTCCTAAGTTGCTCAATGGATCATGAAGTACACAATGTGAAAATAATTTAATTAAAAATGAACATCACTTATACAGCTACAGTAAGTAAAAGCACACAAATCCTTGTAGCTGATATGCAATCTTTCTCCTTGAGATATACAAACGGTGGGTTATTTGTTAACACGTATATACAACATTAATTTTAGGTATGAAGATTTGTTTAAAAGTACAATAAATAACTTTATACCTCAAAGAAAAATGGATCTTTCTTTACTTCTTCCATTGCTCTGAAACACAGAAGTGTTAAGATAAAGTTAAGTTGACTGTTGGAATAAAAATAATTCATATTACTCTAAGGATTGAAGGTTTATAAAATGCTTTCCTTACCACCGGTAGACAGCTAGGTGGTGCTGTGGATGGAGAACACTGTTCTGAGTCAGGAAGACCTAAGTTGAAATCGGGCCTCAGACACTTATACCTATACAACCCTGGGCAGGTCACTTAACCTCTGTCTGCCTTAGTTTCTTCAACTCTAACAGAGGGTAATAGTAGAACCTACCTTCGAGGGTTGTTCCGAGTATCATATATTTGTAAATTGCCTAGTAGAATGCACTTAACAAAATGCTTGTTTCCTTCCATCCTATATCCCAAAGAGCTTAAAGAAAAAAGAAAAGGACCGATAATACTCATAGCAGCTCTTTTGTAATGACAAAGAACTGGAAATAAATTGAGTGCCCATTAACTGGATACTGACTTAATAAAGTATGGTATCTGAATGTAAAAGAACAGTGTTACTACTACCACAAGAAATTATAAGAGGGACAGAGTTCAGAGAAACCTAGAAAGACTTGTATGAATTAAAGTAGAATGAAGTGATTAGAATCAGAACAATTTACACAACAATATTGTAAAGGGAAATCATTCTGAAAGACTTAGGGGCTCTAATCAACCCAATTATGTCTTGGATATAACTGACCAATTTGGGAACTTTTTTTTTTTCCTGCTTGACTTTTCGTATTTGTTAAAAAGATTCTTTTTCCCCAAAGTGTGTGAGGGTGGGGGGAGGGGGAAAGGGATGAGAGGGAGAAAAAATAAATGCTTGTTTTTTTGTTTTGGTGAGGCAATCAGGTAAAGTGACTTGCCCAGGGTCACACAGCTGCTAAGTGTCAAGTGTCTGAGGCTGCATTTGAACTCAGGTCCTCCTAATAAACGCTTATTAATAAAAAAGAAACAATTTTTTAAAGCAGCCAAAAAAACAACAGTCTTGTTACTTCAAGTACAATGTTTTTTTTCCCTATTACTCCATATTATGTATCTTGTTACTTTAAATGTTCAAAAGTTAGAAATATTTTTCATCCGTAAGGAAAAGACTAAGCAAAGGAAAACATATACTGCCACTATTAGGCATGACTTCAATAAGGAGAAAAAAAAGAAGAAAAATATTCGATGGGCAAAAACCAAAAATAAAGAAAGAATGCTATAAATTTGAGAAAGTAATCTGCAACCCACATTGATCCCAGATGCCATTTTGTGCAAGGCAGGAAAACATATCAGAGAAAGAAGAGAAATTTTAGTCAAAAGGGAAAAAAAAGAACAATCTAGTAGCTCGAAATCTTTTAGATATGTAAACAGCCTGCAAAAAACGCCAGGAGAGCTGACTTGGCAGTCTCAGTCAAACATTACAGACTAGGATGCACCATCAGAACCTCTTGTTGCTTCTAAGTACAGGCTCCTTAATGAAGAATATTCTAGTTTTAAAACCCCGAATAAAATTTGTTTCTAAAATCACCAAATAAAAAGATTTGCTACCCCTCCCCCTCCCATCCCCCCCACCTGGACCCGACGCCCCACGGGCAGACTAATTAAAGATAACGGAAGGGAGCAGCTGCGCAGCTGCGGCCCCCTAAGCCGCTTAATCCTGGCAAATTCTCAGGAATGCTGGCTGCTGGAGGCCCCAACCCTTCGCTACAGATGAGGGGCCCGCGAAAGGGGACGGCTGGGCCCAGGCCAGTTTGGCAGAGACAATAAGGGCGGCATGAGCGACGGCCTTCAGGAAAGAGGCCCGCCCCTGGACACCCGCCCCCCCAACTCCCGACCTTGCCACAAAGTCTAGGCCGAGGCTTCAGACTGTGGAGACGAGAGGGGCAAGAAAAATAACTGTCCTGCGGGAGGGGGAGGGGCGGCCAGGACTGTGGCCTGAGGCCCGAGGCCTGGCCAGGCCGAGCGCAGGGCCCGTCCGCATCGCCCCACCCGAGGCGGAGAGCCGGACGGAGCGAAAGGCACAGAGAGGCGACACGGGTTGGGAAGACAACTCACTGAATGAGAAGGTCGTACAGGCCCGTGGCCGCTTGGTTCACGTTGGGCAACATCGCGTCTCCAGAGGCTCCGAGCTCCCTGGCCACGTCCTCACACAAGTATGCACCCCGTCTCTGACATCACGTCAGAGGTCGTGACCCGCTCCGCCCCCCCTCCGGACTACATTTTGCCTTGAAGGGAACCTATGCGTCTTCTCCGCTAATTTTTTTAAAATAATTTTCATGAAAAACAATGCGTTTTCTCATTTAAATAACATCTCCTTCTCGCCTAAAAAAATATATGCTAATTACTTTGAGGAAGATTTTTACGTGTGACATCATACTGCACCCTCCCTTTAGGATCATTCCGCGAAAAATGAGTCCCTGAAGACTAACCTATATTAAAGACTTCAGGATTGTTTAAATAGATTAATTTCACTTGTATTGGATTAGATTGTACGTTTAGAAAATAAATACTGGGTATAGAAATGTTCCGCTCCTCTCTATTGGTTCTGAGCTGGTGTGGGGCGCAGGGGGAGGGATACATATAATTGTAAGTCGGTTCTTTGTATTTCCTTTTCCTGCGGGAGTCATCGGGCGGAGAGGAGCGTGGCTCTTACTCTCCGGTGCCCGCCATGGTGAGTGAACCTCTTGCAGGGGGCATCTCCCACACAGAGAATCTAGGGTGGGAAACCTGGGGCCCGGGACGGCGGAATCCATATGAAAGGAAGGAGAGAGAGAAAAGCTAGAGCCCTGGAGAAAGCCGCATCTAGTGTGGGATGGGTGGTGTGGCGAAAGGGCAGCCATCTTAGAAGCAACGTGTGTTTGTGGGAACGGGCAAAAAAGTCGGAGGCCTGCCAGGACGTGCGATCTCTGCGTTTACACAGGAGGAGAGCGACGGCTAATTGCTGGGCTGCGGAGCCCCTGGGCTTCAGAGCGGCCCAGATCCGGTAAAGCGCATTTAGTGGAGCTTAGGGCCGGGCCCCACGTTGGAATGAACGTGAGAAAAAGAGAGGTTGCTTTAGGCCTTCCTGTACTTTAAAAGTGTTGATGTCACATGGCCTTGAATGTTCACGAGGCTTTTTTGTTTGAAACCAACGTCTTGTAACTTAGAAGTGCTCTAAGGTCTATAGTATAATTGGTTGATTTCAGTAACTGTAGTTAAATATGGCAGGGCATTTTGATCTCTTAATCGAAAGAAAACTACAGTGTATATGTAGTTAATATTTCTAAACTTAGAGGAACCAGGTCCAGAGCAGGTTTACTTACCTCACTTGTATTGAATGAATGAATCCTTAATGAGAGGGATTGGGGCATCATTTTGATTGCATCAGAATCTTAGCTAACATTTACTCGTGCTTGTTTGTTAGATTGTTTTGAAGATTTTATGTTCGACTGGTTCCATTTAAGTCTCTTTAATGAGGTCTTTGGAAACATTAAAAATCTATGTTAAATTTTGCCTGGGAAGACTTATCATTGCTATGATGTCGTAATTTGCGTCTTACTTAAGCATTCAGTGACAGTTGCCTGCTGTCAGTAAGCTGACGCTTTCTGGGTGATGAGTACTTGTAACTGAGCAATGTTCGTGGGATTCTTAGAAACAAAAAAATAGATGATTTTTTCCCTAATAATGTGGCTTATAAGTGCTTGTTGTTCTTTCTTTCCCAGGCTTGTGTACGTCCCTTGATATCGGTGTACTCCGAAAAGGGGGAAGTATCTGGCAAAAATGTTACCTTGCCTGCTGTCTTTAAGGCTCCTATTCGTCCAGATATTGTGAATTTTGTTCATACCAACTTGAGAAAAAATAACCGGCAACCTTATGCTGTCAGTGAATTAGCAGGTATGGCCACTTATACTTGTAACTTAGATTTTGATTTTAAAAAGAAACCACCCATATTTTAATTGAGTCTGTAATTATAATTTTGAGTGAGTTGTCTGAGGTGTGGCTCCAAAGGGAAATTGTTTAATGCTACACAGATATGATGAGATTTCCACTTCATTGGTCCGTGTTTCTGAACCAAATGATTTTTATGGAAGTTCTGATAGTGTGTAGTACATGCATTCAGCTAGGGTGCTTATGAAAAATTAAATCTCACTAGCCCTCTTCTTACCCCATTTTTTATTTTTCAGGTCATCAGACCAGTGCTGAGTCTTGGGGCACTGGCAGAGCTGTTGCTCGAATTCCTCGAGTTCGAGGTGGAGGGACTCACCGCTCTGGCCAGGGTGCTTTTGGAAATGTATCCTTATTCTTCATTTTTGTTTCCTAAACATGATATTATGAAGTTAGTGATTATTGATTACTTTGATGTGTTTTGTGGTCATTCATGTATGACCTATGCTATTCCCTATAGCAATCCTATGGTGATAGTGATACCATATGAGGTGGGTAGTGAACTTAATTGCTAATGTATATATGCCTATAAAGCATCTCTCCAGGACTTTGCATATTTAGTAAACGCTTAATATTCTTAAAGGAGGGTGGCTGCCACATAAAGAAAATTAGCTTGCTATGATGCTGTAATTTGCGCCTTACTCTGTTTTCAGTGACAGTTGCCTGCTGTCAGTAAGCTGGTACAGAAGGTTGCTGAAAAAGTTTCTCTGAGCAAGACCTAAGTAGAAACTTTATGAATTTTTTAAATGGCAAATTGGATTCTTGACTGGAAAAATAGATGTGCCGAGGAGGTCGAATGTTTGCTCCTACCAAGACTTGGCGCCGTTGGCATCGCAGAGTGAACACAACTCAAAAACGTTATGCCATCTGCTCTGCTTTGGCAGCCTCTGCCCTCCCAGCACTGGTCATGTCAAAAGGTATGTTTAGTTAGGATGGTTTGAATGAAGGACACTTATGCTGTTGAAATACAGGAAATATTCTCAATATTTGGGGCATCCAAATAATACACTTTAGTGAAATAGATTCACAAATAGGTTTGGTGAAATATTGGAAGTAAATTTAATTCCAGTCCTACCTTTGTCATCAACTGGCTTTGCGTATGACTTTGGACATTAACTGGGTTGTGTTCTTCATTATTTAGGAATCTTGACTGCATTTATTGATTCTGTTAGTGTACCTTGGTCCGTATTATTCTTTTACAGTGCCACCAGCAGCCTACATCTGATAATTGACAGATGTGCAAGTTAACTTGTGTGTCTCTTGTGGCTGGCTTTACATGGTCAGGAAATTTTTCTTGAACTTGTTTTTCTATGAAATATGGACAAGTATAACTAAAATAATTTATTTTACTCAGGTCATCGAATTGAAGAGGTCCCAGAACTTCCTCTGGTAGTTGAAGATAAAGTGGAGGGGTATAAGAAGACCAAGGAAGCAGTGTTGCTGCTTAAGAAGCTGAAGGCATGGAATGACATAAAAAAGGTGAATTAAAAGTGAAAGTGTCTGCTTTCAAAGAGCTTACTTTGTATCAGGAAAGAGAACATAAAGAATAAGAAACAATTTTGGAAGGAAGGGAATTAGTAGCTGGGGGGTGAATTGGGAAAGATTTCCTATGGGGAGTTGGTTTTTTAGTCTTGAAGGAAGTAAAGGATCCTCTCATGAAAGTGAAAGGAGTAATTCCAGGTATGAAAAGTGGCCAGTGCAAAGCATATAGAGGGGAATAGAGTGTCATGCATGAAGAGTAGCACCCAAGGTCAGTTTGGCTGGACCTGAGAGGGGAAATAAGTTGAAATTGGAAAGATGGGTTTGGCCTTCAGGAGTCCAGTGGGCTCACATCAGAGTAAAATTTAGTCTGTTTTGCCTTCAGATATTACAGCCTTGTAATGATGAGATTCCACTTCATGGTCCGTGTTTCTGAAACAACATGATTTTGTGGAAGTTCTGATGTTTGGTAGCCTGTATGTAGTTACATTGGGAAGAATTTAAATCTGATTTTCTTCAGATTAAGAATTATTACTTAGCATTATTTAAAATGTGAAATTTTACAATAAGATGCCTCTTGACTTTTTTTTTTTATTTAAGGTCTATGCTTCTCAGCGTATGCGAGCTGGTAAGGGTAAAATGAGAAACCGTCGTAGGATCCAGCGTCGGGGACCTTGTATCATCTATAATGAAGACAATGGTATCATCAAGGCATTCAGAAACATTCCTGGTAACTTTTTTCCCTAATATGCTTCAATACATTAAGAATTTAATGGTTTCATCAGTGTGAGCACTCTGCCTCTGATCCAAATTGTAGCTGAAAAATTTACTGGCTTGCAGGCAACCTTCTGATGGGCTTCTTGAACTTAGCCACATTTGAAAGTCTTTTTCTGCCTGAGTATAAGTGGCCAGAACTTAAGGTCTACTAGGATAACCTTTAAGAGTTATAGTCACATTACAGTTGGACTTAGAAGGTTTTTTTCTCTGAATATAGAAAACAGCCTTGTAAAGATGCGATTCTGATTTCATAGTCTATTTATGAAATACCTGATTCTGTTGGACGTTATGATACTTTGTTGATGTACTATAACTGCATTGGAAAGAATTTCATTTGTGATGTATTATGCTTCAGTGTAACAGTTGTTTGTATTTAAATGCCTTTGTTTATCTGGCAAAAAAGGCAGGTGGAATAGCTATTTATACTTTGCTTTACCTTATAGGTATTACTCTTCTTAATGTGAGTAAATTGAATCTTTTGAGACTTGCTCCTGGTGGGCATGTGGGGCGTTTCTGTATTTGGACTGAGAGTGCTTTCCGAAAGCTGGATGACCTGTATGGTACATGGCGAAGGCCTGCTACCCTGAAGAGTCACTACAAGTAAGTGTTTTCTAAGTTGAACTGTTTAATATTACTGAAATAATATTAGAAATGATGAGATTCCACTTCATTGGTCCGTGTTTCTGAAGCCTGTGATTTTAGTAGTGGAGGTTCTGATTCTGGTCTTTTAATGGTGAAACTTAGAACAGAATTTTTCAGATTTTCATTTTGAACATAAAGCACCCTGATTCTCATAAGAAACATCCTGAATTTTTCTCTTTTCAGTCTTCCCATGCACAAGATGACCAACACAGACCTTACCAGGATTTTGAAAAGCCCAGAGATCCGGAGGGCCCTCCGTGCACCACGGTAAATTAACAGTTAATTGGCATTATAAGATTTCCAGAGCTTAGAATATGATGTCTCTAAAGTATGTTAATACAAAATATATCTGCTACTTTATAGCAAAAAGATTCATCGACGAGTACTCAAGAAGAACCCGCTGAAGAACTTGAGAATCATGGTGAAACTGAACCCATATGCCAAGACAATGCGCCGGAATACAATTCTACGCCAGGCTAAAAATGTCAGTAATGCGAATTCTGTACTGGTTTTCTTCTTTCATTGAGTTTTTTGGTTTCCTTATTTTCTTCTTCTCAATCCTTTGCAGCGGAGAATCAGAGAAAATAAAAGAGCTGCTGCACTAAAGAAGATTATGGAGGCAAAGAAGGCAGTAGATGAGAAGAAGAAGAAGAAGCTTGCAGGAGCAAAGAAGGTTCCAGGGCAGAAGAAACCAGCAGAAAAGAAGCTTGGTGAAAAGAAACCTCCAGCAGCAAAGAAGCCTGCAGCTGAAAAGAAACCTGCTGCACAAAAAAAACCTGCAGCTGAAAAGAAGCCTGCTGCATAAACTCAGCATATCAGTTTATCCTTTGGGCCACAATTCATTATGTCAATGTTGTGAATTTCTAAAGAATAAATATTCAAAGTGGCTTTGGAAAAAAAAAAATTTTTTTTTTTTTTTTTTTTTTTTTGGAAAAAATATTTTTTTGAAAGTATTTAATTTTCACAAATGCAAGTTTTCAAAAGCTTCCTTTATTTTACAACAAAGCTTAAATTAACCTGGTTGCTTAATAGGTAGTGCTATAATTGGGCCTTGAATTCAAGACATTTGTCAAATACTAGATGCTGGCTGCTATACCACTTAAAACATTTAACTATGTATAGGCCCTAAAAGTTTTGATATGGTTATAAGCTGGGTAGATGCTTAGAAAAGAAGTGGAGAATTTGATATTTTAACCACTCAGTCACTTGGAAATTAAGGGCCCACTCAATAGTAAGCCTAAGCTGGGGTGGGGGACAGACAATAAGTGAGAGATAGCAGGGAGGGTTGAGGGCAGCAGCACTGGGCCTGCAGTCAGGAAGACTCATCTCCCGAGTTCAAATCTGGCCTCAAACACTAGCTGAGTGACCCAGGGTGAATCACTTCACCCTTGTTTGCCCCATTTTCCTTATTTGTAAAATGAGCTGAAGGAACTGGCAAACCCCTCCAGTATCTCTGCCAAGAAAACCCCAAATGGGGTCACGAAGAATCTGACACAAGTACAGGGAGGGGTGTAGAACAACCAGTGGAAATGCTCGGGAATTGGAGGGTTGTACAAGGAACAGTATGGAAGTCTGGCCCTAGGGAGCAAAATAGAAGTGGGGCAGCAGCCTCACTAATGGCCTTGCCGCCACTAGGGGGCTCCCTTGTGAGGGGTCAGCCTGGTGAGTAGGCCCTGCGTTACCGAGGGTGAGGTTACAGAGGGCCTTGGGAGCTCAGGCGGACCCCGGGCTAAAAGTCACAGTCTCTTAGCATGTGCCTGAGGGTGGAAGGCCGCCCTGGGGCTGGCTACCTTTAGTCTAGAGTAAGCTATAGTCCAGAATGATTCTAGGCCCAAACTCTCCATGCAGCTGGGGTGGGGCAGGGGAAGTGGCGGCTTCTCACTGGAATTCAAAACCGGGAAAACTCGCCACGCCTCTTAGAAATCACTTCCGGTGGCTACGCTAGGAGCCCTCAGGGTGAGCCGGAAGTGATTCACCCGCCCTCTTCTAAGATGTCCGCGTGCCCGGCCTCTTCCGCATGGGGCTTCTGTAGTCAAACGGCAACCCCACGGGCTCGGCCTGAGAGAGGTAGGCGCGGCGAAGGCGTCGAGCAGGCAAGATGCTGAGCCGGCTGCAGGAGCTCCGCAAGGAGGAAGAGACGCTGCTGCGGGTGAAGGCGGCGCTGCACGACCAGCTCAATCGGCTCAAGGTGACTCCGCCACCGGCGACCCCGAGGCCCCGGGGCCCTGGGGCGGGACCCGGCGGGGCGGGGCCCCTCAAGGGGCCGCCCCCTGGAGGGAGGGGAGGGAAACCGAGCCGAGGCGAGCAGCCACGCCCCTCTCCGGCCCTGGACCCTAAAAAGGCCGTCTTGAAGGACTCTTAACCCTAAAGCTTCTGGGGCCCAGGGGTAAAATCGGGGGATCCTGGAACTCTGCAGCGAGCATTGATGGAGCACACGTAAGCACTGTGGAGAGCCGGGGATGCAAACACTGACCGATAAACGGTACCTGCCCTGGGGCGGGGGTGACGGCAGGATGTACACGGATAAGTAAATTTAAAATAGGTAAAAAGTAAACGTAAATGATGTTCTCCCGGAGGAAGCCTCTTCTTCTCTTTCAGCCTCATTTCCTTTCCTGTCAGGGGTGGGAGGTGTCAGGATGGTGCGGCCCTTTGACCGAGTCCAACTTTGACCGAACAAATCCTTTTATTAAGGGGATTTATTCAGTGAAGTTTGGATTCAGTCAGAGGGCCGCCCTTGAGGACGTAGAGGGCCACATGTGGCCTCGAGGCCGCAGGTCCCCCACCCCGGGTGGACGGATCTCTAAGTGATCTGAGAAGATCTCAGTACTTGCTATCAAGAAACGTATAATCCAGTATGGGATGTAAGGAACACTAACTCTATTAGTATTGGCCATAATGCAATCACTCCCTCAGGTGGTATTAAAGAATAGTTTAGAACTCAAAAGAGGGAGAAATTTCTCACTGCAGGATTATTGAAAATTTCATGGAAAAGATGCATTGGAATCAGATCTTGAGGGATGAATAAGATTTCAGCAGATGAGATGGTAAAACAGGCCAATTTGGCTGTAATGTAGGATGTTTAAAGAACCCTAATGTGAGATGTCTGGATTGGTAAATTAGGATCAGATCTTATCATCTCAGAAAGAACCTCTGGGCTCAGGGAAGATACCAGATGAAGGTTACTTCATTTCTCACCTTTAATGCTTTTTTCCTTCATCCAACTTTCCCACCTCTCAACTCACTTTCTTGATGCCTTATCAATATAGACCACAGAGATCGCACTAGTCTGAACTTTGGGGGTTTTTTTGTCTATGTAATTTGGTAGTTATCTTTTCCTGTGTTCGTGTCTTAGCTCTCCCCTCCTTGCTCCATTGTTTCACAAGGACTTGCGTCATACTTCTGTGTACTTTCAGTTGTTTGATGGTAAATGGTGATTATTAATGAAAGGCAGCCTGGGCTAGTCAAAGAGTAAGAGGATTCAGGTTTGAAGGCTAATGTTGGTCCTTAGTAATTCAAGTTGCTTAATCTCTTGGGGGACCTGTTTCCTCATCTGTAAAAAGAGTGAGTTGTAGTAGATTATCTCAGAAGGTTCCTTCCAATTCTAAGTCGTCTGCTCCTCTAACATCCATCACCCATGTTCTTTCCAGTGTGCCCTCCTACACCTGCCAACACAAAAGCCATCTCTTCTTTGTGGTTCCTAGCTACCTTGATCCAAGACTGGTCAGGCAAAATTTTAACCGGCTAGGAGGAAGAGACCTCGGTCTCTGTTCCCCTTGGGGGTATTTGGGCTTGGTAGTAGCAGTTGACTTAAAGTAAGCTCAGCTGGAGAAGGGGCACTTTTCTTCTCAGGTTGAACAGTTTGAATTGCCCAGGAGAACACAAAGAGGAGAGGGCTTCCCTTGCCCTCTTCCTTGTAAGGACAGTGCATGTCAGGAGCTCCTCTTCCCACCCCCTGCTGGTAGCAGAGAGCAATCACAAGACTGTATTTCATTTCCCCTCCCTTAGAATACAGTGTGAGCTTTGTTCGTTCCTCTTCATTGCAAATATAGTGGAAGGCAAAATGACCCAGTTGTCTCATGTTTTAGGTTGAAGAGCTGGCCCTTCAATCAATTATTAGCTCCAGAGAAGGGGAAGGGATGACCCATTCTTCACCTCTAACAGAGGAACCAGAAAATGTAAGCATAAGCAAATGTGGGGCTATGGAAAAACTGAAATTCAGAGTTAATGGTATAATTTTCTGCCTTTTGGTAATAAAAACCAGTATAAAATCCCATTTTTGAGACTGAGGGACTTTAGAAAGTTATGAGAAATTTCATTAATTGCTTAGGTTAGTAAACCAGTTAGTTTGTCATTTGCTTTCAGCCCTTTCACAAACAGTTTTCACCATTTTTTTTTTGTTTGATTACTCCCCTCTGTTCATCTGTTGTGTCAGTTATTCTGGTAATTCCAGGCATATTGTTGAGGAAGAATATAATTTGTCATGTGTCAAAGCTGTTGCTACTTTGGGAATGTTACCTACACACTGTAATAAACATGCTTGAAAGAGTTACCAGAATCAGTAACTTGGGGGAGCTAATGCTAAGGGTGCTTTATTTACCAGGCCATTCTTTGGACAGCAATCCATAGCTTCAGGATAGGACAAAAATGGGTTCTTGTCCTTAATGTGACCCGCTCCCATCAAATGACCTGAGGTAATCATTCAGCAAGCATTTATTAAGAAGTCGTTATGTATCAGGCCCTGGGACGTTTTGCTGGAATCATCTGTTCCTTCTGTAATAAAATATGTGAATTAATGACTACCCTAAGGGAATGCTATATGGGTTTAATAAACTTCAAACCATTCAGAAATAAGGCTCAGTCAGCCTTAGTCTGCCTCCTGTCACTTAGCCTACCAAAAGACTCATGTTTGTACTGCAATTAATGAAAACATTTAATCTGAAAGCATTTGAGGAAACCTAGGGATGTGACTATACTATGAGTTAGATTTAGCTTTAGTTTTAAGACCTGGCATTTTTTAAGTGTTTGGTTGCTTAAAAAATATTAATGTGTGATTTCTTTGGCCCCATCAGATCTTGGTGCAGGTAGATAATGAAACTTCCATCAATCAAACTGAATTACAGCTAAGCACAAGAAACCATGCTCAAGAAGAGGAGGAGGAAGAGGAAGAATCTGATTCCTAAAGGAGAAAGGGAAAAATCAGAATTATTTATCTAAGTTAATTTAAGATTCATGAACTTTCTCTGTTCAAAGAAACCATTCTAATACAATCATTATGGCCTGCTAACAGTGAATGAAAAACTCTCAAAAAATGCACAACTAAAATGACACCATAGCCCACTGAAGCTTCATATAAGCTAGTCAAATTAGATACATATACATACTAGAGGTAAAATTCCATGTGACATTCTATTGAAATACTCATGTATTTGCAACCAGAAAAGTTTAAATGTAATCCAGCCTTTCATATTTTTCTAATATATATTGGCAAGTAAAGACATACCATTTAACTCCCTTATGCACAGAGCAAGGCCACGTTCTAAGTTCTAGAATCTAGTAGATGGAAAGGTAAAGAAGAGATATAATGGGATTCAGCTTCTCATATAGAGAGGGTAAGCTATTTTAATGGCACTCTGAGGAACATAGAAGTACATGAGAAGTTGCTTGGTGTGGTTGTGAGCATATCTTAATTTGAGTTGCCACATTGTGGTAAAATGTGGTCAGTCAATTTTAGATAAAAAATGCTGTCTACAGGATACCAAAGGAGAAGAGCCAAACCATGTTCTTGTAGAATACATATTATAATAATAAAATTTAATTGTTTTAAAAATCATTTTTGTTTTTAAGGAAATGTGCCATATTTTTAAAAATGTCTCGGGATATACGTGAGTGGATTTGTTTTTACAATAAAAAGAAAATGGCTGAAGAAATAGGACATGTAAAAACTTCTCATTTGTGATCAAGATTCATTTCTATGCTCTTTCCCTTCTCACACAGGATAAGGCTAATTTAGTTGTTCAAATTTGCACAGTACAAGTAACAAAACATAGCAGCCCCAAACACAGAAAAAACAACAGGTATTCTTGTGCAGTTTTCAACTGTGCCAAAAACAACTACACATGATTTAAAAATCAAGCCTTCAATAAATTAGAAATAAGAATCAGAAACTGAAACACATATTTCTTTGAAAATATTATCTAGTGTTCACTTTTTTAAAAAGTGATTTTCTATTCACTTTAGTCAATATAGTGTCATTAATAATTTCCAGGACAGAGAGAAGTTTTGGATAAGTTCTAAATGTTGGCATATATGGGAACGCAAACTAGGAAGATTGCAACAGAGAAGTGCTTAAGGGTATAATTATTCTTAGGTGCACTAAATGTTATTACTCCTTTGGGGTATGACTAGAAAAAAGTAAAATTAATGAGGGCTGAAACTCATCTTGATTAGTGCTTCAGTGATCAAGATATAAATTATTCCAGTTATGAAACCTGAAAACTGACCAGAATATTTAAGTCAATCATTGATTTAGAGCAAAGTGATAATGCTACAGTAGTGTTATATCTATAGAGAACTATTTTGCCTTTTCTAAAATGAAGCAAGGAATTTAAGCCATGAATGTTTGTCCTTTTTTTAATTGAATCACAAAAATCTCATTCAAGTTCTCACTCTAGCATCTAGTAGGTCAGGGATCAGCATACCAGAAGATATTTCCCAGATTCTTTTTTTTCATCTGATAAGGCAAAAGTCCCCTTTGTCAAATGTTTTTATTGGCTATGTAGTCTTGCTCTAGCAAAGAAGAAAATGAGGGAGGAAGTTCAGGCAACGTCTGTCAAGTTTACATGCAGTAAAAGCCCAAACTCAACCATTAAAAGAATCATTAAAAACCTTAAAAGGTATAAATTGCCAGGAATGTAGAAGTCATTTGTCTTTTGATGACTTAGAGCTATAATATAAAATTCAGCTTGCTCACCTGTGAAGAGCATTAGCACAACACAATACATACAACCTTTTAGTGCCATGAGCATGAATTTTAGAAACCAATTCCTTCATTTTTATGAGACTGTTCCCAAAGTGCTGTAAAAGTAAGTCCTACTGATGCCAGTAAATCATGAAAGGTTTTTGCTAGTTATTTCAAAAATATCTCATTTCTTTAAGTTGGTAATCCCAAATAAAAAGTGGGATGGGAATTAGGTGCAAGTAAGAAAGACTATCCTATGTACTTAAACATGTATCTGAGTATTCTACAGCTATGACTTCCATATAATTAGAAAATGACAAAGGGATACAATGCTGAACAGCCATCACACATAGGCAAACATTTATACTCTTTGGACACTGATGAATCCTAGAAGATATAAGAATACTCCAGCTTAGAAAAATCTGTTACAGCCAGTTAAGCACAGGTGTTAAAATAGGGGAGTGGGGAGACTGTGAAGAATTAAGATTCCCAAGGACCTTCAGATTTGTCTTAAGATTTTTTTTTTTTCAGACCATTACCCTTCACTTTTGGAAAGAAGTAAGTGGGTGTCAAATTGGCTAGGATAACAAGGAAAATAACAAATGCTGGAGGGGCAGTTAGGTGGTGCAGTGGATAGAGCACCAGCCCTGGAGTCAGGAAGACCTGAGTTCAAATACTGCTTCAGACACGCAATACTACCTGTGTGACTCTGGGCAAGTTACTGAAACTTATTGCTTAGCAAAAAAAACAGAAACAAACAAAAAACATGCTGGCAGCAATATGGGAAATCAGGTACACTGATGAACTGTTGATGGAGCTATGAATTAGTTCAACCATTTTGGACAATTTGGAACTATGCCCAAAAAGCTATTAAACTATACATAACCTTTGATTCAGTGATTTACTAGGTCTAAGAATCAAAATTAGAATTAAGAATTACTAGGTCTAGGTCAAAGAACTGGAAACTATGAGAATGCCTATCAATTGGGGAATGGCTGAACAAGTCATGGTATATGATTGTGATGGAATATTGTGCTGTAAACAACAATGAAGATGATGGTTTTGGGAAAACCTGATTAGACTTATATGAACTGATATAAAATGAAGTGTGCAAAAGAACCAGGAAAACAACATACACAGTAACAATGATAACTGTAAAGATAATCAACTTTGAAAGACTTAGTAAATGATCAATACAAATGACCAACTACAATTTCAAAGGACTCATGATGAAACATTCTATCTACCTCCAAATGAGTTGATAGACTCACGAGTGCAGATTGAAGCATATTTTCTTCTTCTTTTTTTTGTACATGGCTAATGTGGAAATTTGACTATACGTATTTGTAATGGATTTTGTTTTTTCTTGCCTTTTCAACAGGTGGGGGAGGGAAGAAGAATGAAATTGAAAATGAAGTTGAACTGAATTAAAAAGAAAACTGGGTGGGAAGGACAAATAGGGTCCTTTCATATTTCAAGAGAAAAGCTATTGAAGATGCTTATTTATAGATAAGGGTGCATGGTGGGAGAGATTTTGAACACTGCTGCAATCATTTTTGATGTGGCTTCTAGACATATAAAATGATAGGAAGGCAACCAAAGGCACGTTAGCCAAAAGCATCAAGCTGCAAGCTGTTTCTTGGTCCAGTATTTCCTTCTTGCAACCCTTCCTATTTTCCACCTACCTTCCCACATAAAAAGGCTCAGCTAGGTTTAAGAAACCAAAATGACCATTTTCCTGTAGAATGATAAAAACATCACTACCTGAGGAAATTTACAAAGAAATCACTACTCTTCAATTCTTTTTTTAAACCTTATGATATATTTATTAGAATAAGAGATTAGATTTGTTAAACATTTGAAAATAAAATGGTTAAAAGGATCTCCATACAATTTTTAGGCACTATACACACAGTTCTCTTACAATATATTCTGTAATTGGATTAGGAGAAAGATAAATCTGATGAACTTTAATGACTTGATCCATTGGTGACATTCAAAAAAAACCCCACTATTTTAGAAATGCCAGTTAAAAATTAAGAGACATACACCACCAAACAACTCTGAATATCCTACAGAGAATATTTTAAAAATAAATATAGAAATATAGCCACAAGTCTCTAAGTCCTCACAGTAGACTGATGAAGCCCTGGCTATTATGGCAATTCGGGGCTCTGACTTGATTTAGGTGAAAACAGCTGGATTCTACACAGAAAGCAAAAAAATTACAACACCATGACATCCACTTTCTAATGCTTGTTTTCATAGCAGCAAAAGCATGCTTCCCATGCACTGCTTGTGAAGGACATTGTAAGGCTCCTCCCTTCCACTTTCAGGAAGACGGTAAAAAGCCTTGAGAGAATGAAGTACCACCAAGTGTCAAAAGATTCCCCACCCCCCCCAAAAAAATCACAAAGCCAGCCAGCTGAGGCTGAAAGAGCAGCGATGCAAAGAATATCCACTGTCATCAAAATTTCACTAACTCAACATCGCACGCTTTTTTAGGGTTCATTAACACAAACAAGAAGCCCCCAATGCAAAGCCAATTCCAAGAGAGTAATCATTATTAAAAAACAAACAAAACAAACAGAATTTGGCACATGCTATGTTCTTCATCCTTCTTCACAGGGTAAAATGCACATCTGAACAGAGACAAGCATGAGAAATAGGACCTAAGGTAGCATCATTTTGCACAATGGGGTAAGGGAGCTGCCTTTCTCCAGCCTCCCAAAGAAACACTTTAGACGCCAGCAGCATGAGTTGGTGTGCTAGGCTGGTTAAGGCCTATGGTGGAGCAGAGCCAGCCTGCAAAATCAACTTCCTCGGCATCAGACCTCTTGATAAAAGCATGAACCTGTATGTGAGAAAATGTGAAGATGCATCATCAGAACATTAAAAGATCTGGTTCAATACATGTAAAAATATATGCAGTATCTCTTTTTGATACAGTAAAGACATGGAAATTAAGGGGGTGTCTGTGACTTGCAGAATGGCTCAACGAACTATGACATATGAATGTAATGAGTTATTTCTGTACCACAAAAAAAAATGAAAGAGATGGTTTCTGAGAAATCTGGAAAGACTTGCAGGAACTGATGCAGAATAAAGTGAGTAGAGCCAGAACAATTTATTCAAAAACAGCACTGTAAAGACAAACAGTTCTAAAAGACTTACGATCAGTGATCAACTTTGATCAATGTAATGAACCACCATGATTCCAAAGGACTAATAATAAAGCATGCTACCCACTTCCTGATAAAAGAGGTGATGGACTCAAGTTGCATAGTAAGACATTTCATTTTTGGACATGGAAATGCAAGGATTTGTTATGTTTAACTATGGATATCTGTTAGAAATACTTTTTTTCTTTCTCTTTATTTAAAGAGAGATCTTTATTAAAGGTGGGATAGAAAGGACATACAGGGAAAAGGGGTATCTCTCCGAAATGAGAACAGAAGGAAATTACAGATAAGCAGGACAGCTTTGAAAAGTACATATTTAAAATAATTATATACTTTAAAAGAAAAGCAAACTCTATGTAACAGAGATTGACAATTTCATGTATAATCTTCTCCTGTTCTTCAATGTATATAGAAATGTCTCATTTTACTTGGTACTTGTTAAGTTCCAAATAAGAAAAACTACATTTAATCAAGAAAAATAAGATTCAAAAGGAATGCAACAGTCAAGATGACGAATTGAGCTTGTTCAAGATTAATAAGGTCTCCCATCCACTTTGGCTGGTTGGGTAATGGCTCAGGAAAGTGAAGGGAGGTACAGCTATGAATGGATCGCTTTAAAAAAAAGCCTATGTATTATAAAACTCCCCACCATCACCAGGAAGTAGATGAGACCATCTTTCAAGTTGCATGTTAACCTTTGACAACCTTTTTTCCTTCAATATTGCCCTTAGAGTTAATTTAATTTGGATTCCACCCTGTATCCAAATATTGAGCAATAGGCACAACACACAATTTGCCCTGGTCCTACATTTCCTTAGGGGTAGTGACAGTATTAGTGAGAAATCTATTAAGATTTTACTTACCATAAGTTGCTTCAAATCAGCTCTCTCTGCTGGGTTTTTTATTAGGCTTAAAAAGAAAAGCAAATGAAAATTATTTCTCTTTGAAGGTGAAAAAAAAATTTACTAGTTTCTATAAAATTAACTCCCAAAGGATAAATTATTAAGCTCAATGTAATGTGCAGTGTGATTATCTTACATAAGTCCTGTAACCCATGACTTACATAAACCCAGAAGCCCATGGGAGAATAACCTAAGATGCTCAGAGGAGAAAAGCCATGGTAGGTTACCACCAGAGAAGCCAAATCTGGGAATCCTATAGAGGAGTATAGTCCAATATTAAAAGCCAAATTCTTTAGGATATACTTTCTAAGAATAAGAAGCCATGTGGTTCCTCCTGTTGGTTCTAATTCTTCTTTACAGCATGACTAATGTGAAAATATGTTTAACAGGAATGTATATATAGAGCCTATATCAGATTGCATGCTGTCTTGGGGAGGAAAGTAAGGAGGGAAGGGGAGAAAATTTAAAACTCAAAAACTTATGGAAGTAAATGCTGAAAACTAAAAATTAATTAATTAAAAAGAATAAGAGGCCAACTTACCATTTATTCACAAAATCTTGAAATTCCAAACTAAAGACTCCACTGGGCAATTTTGGAGGAGGCTGAAAGACATGACAAAACATCAGATCTAACTCTCTAGAGTGGTCCCTGAACTCTCCCACAGGTTAAGTTCTTGCCATATTTATCTCTTCCATCCCCCTTGCCTTATGGCAGGCTTGCCCCTGAGTTATTAACACTAAGGAAGGACACAGTTCAGTCTCCCTGGTTCTTAAGATATACTGTTGGTGTGATGATGCCAAGACTGTCTATCTTGCTGGAATCAGGTACACCACTCCCCATATTTGGTGGGAAGAGGTTTAGCAGTATAATTAATGGTGATTTTGACCTAATTTGTTAATCACTGACAGAAGGGAAGCTAGATTTTCTTCAATGGTTCTAACCATACAAGAAAGAAAGTTTCCTAAAAATATGTGTCTACGTAGGAAAGGGACGTAGTTAATGTAAACAAAAAAGCAATCAAACATTAATTCTACGAGGGGAACGCTTTAGAAGAATGCTACCCAAACACTCCAAAAAAGGGGTCCTTCAAGGAAAGAGCCTTTCCTGATCTCCATGAAGATTATCACGTTCAGACAAGATCTTTGCCCGTTATTGTTTTTAGGAACAACCAAATTGAGACAAGGACTTTACAAACTCTTTCAACAGAAGTAAGCAGGACTAGAATCTTATTATGAGAGATAACAATGTATGCCCTAGGCCATTTCTCCATAACAATAACCAAGGAAGACTTTTCTTTTTCAAATTTCCTAAAATTATCCTAGTTACATCCAATCAAATCCTACAACCTGGCCCCAACCTGCTTCTCAGTCTTATCTCTCACAATTTCTATGGCCAGACAGGTCCACATCTCTCTAGCCTATTCCCTAAAATGCCTTCCCCACCCCCCCCCCTTCTTTCTCTTCTACCTAATCTGTAACCTGACTCTCCTTCAAAGTCCAGCTCACAGGTAGGGAATCTGTGGCACTCGAGGTCCTTGGGTGTGGCCTTTGGACTGAATTCAAGTTTTACAGAACCAATCCTTTTATTAAGGGGATTTGTTCTCCTAAGTTTGGATTCAGTCAAAGGGCTGCATTGAGGACCTAGAGGGTCACATGTGGACTTGAGGCTGCAGGTTCCTCACTCCTGGTAGCTCAAGTCCCACTTACTCCATGAAGTCTTCTCCAACTACTCCTCAAGTGTTCTCTCTCTCCTGTGAACCATTCATTTGCCACTTTCCACACATACTAAATAGCTACAATAATCTTACTCTAATGCCTCACTGTGGCGTGCAAGTGACCTGGGCTGTCTAAGGTTATGCCGGAGTGCATTCTGTTACAGAGTCTGCAAGATGGAAAGGATGAGCTCAGACCGTAATTTCTGTTCAAGGGGCAGTTTAAACATGGATGCTTCATCACCAGATGTCTTGTTAGTTAATAACTTTATTTGGTCATGGCAACAGATAAAATGGACAAAAATACAAAATGCTTATAGTTATAATGAAAGAGTGGTGGAAAAAAGGAAGCAGAGGTTGCTAAGAATCACAAGTATAAGCAAGAAGCTGCTGATAACATGCAATCTTTGTCTAATGCTCAGCAAGGAGTGTTGGTGTACTAGACAGAGTGTTAGACAGACTTGGGACTCAGGAAGACTTCAATCTGAATCCAGCCTCAGACTCTCAGGAGCTGTGTGACCCTGGGGCTCAGTGTCCTCATCTGTAAGTGAACAGGACTCTAGCTCCAACTTTCCTGCCAGCTCTAAATCTATGATCCCAGAACTTAAAGTCAACACACTACTGTACAGATGGGACTATATCCACATCAAATTCTGATTATAAAAGAAATCAGAAGATATAAAGAAGATGCAGCTACTAAATGAGAGGAAAGTTTACAGGTTCTCTTTGGAAAAGTGACTGAAATAGTTGGTTTCATTATGTGGACAAAGGCAATAAGAAACATAAAATGGGACACTCGGGCACTTCACCTTGTAGGGCTCACCACAAACATAAGAAAACATATCACCATGAAGACAACTGCAGGTTATAAATGATTGTTGATTGACCATCTGTTTCAAAGGATGAAGAAGCACAGAAATTCTAGAGTAACTGACCAGATCATTCAAACTAAGTAAATACATACATTTTATCTGTGGTGACTTTAACTCGAAAATGGGAATGTGGGGGCAGCTAGGTGGCGTGGTGGATAGAGTACCATCCCTGAAATCTGGAGGACCTGAGTTCAAATCCACCTCAGACCAAACACTTGACACTTACTAGCTGTGTGACCCTCGGCAAGTCACTTAACCCCAACTGCCTCACCAAAAAAAAAAAAAAAAGGAATGTGGAAGATGAGTTGAAAATATGGATCAGGATCAAGAAATGAAAGAGATTTGCAGATTACTCAGAAATGCTAGTCCTAGATATAATGAAGACTTTCCTAAAGAGTCAAAAAATGTAGGACTTGGAAAGCCCAAAACAATTATAACTGACCCCTAATAAAAATGAAAATGCTTTTATCTTTAAAGGAAAGGAAATGACCAGTTACAGATTCACCATTTATTTCAGAATTACTTGTTTGGATGTTTTTAGATCAACTAGTTACGGCAAAGGATAAAGTAAATTCCAAATAAAAAGATGTCAAGAAGATAATATTGGATATGACTACATCAGTTCCAATGCAACCTGTCTGAATAAGCTGTCTCTAAAAAAAAAAGATATGGGCGGTAAAGACATCAAAAGTTTAACCAATGCAGAACAAAATATAAGGGGGCTGAAAGAAAACAGAAACTACTTCAAACTATTAACTCTTAATTGAGTTGAACCTCAACATGGAGAAATATGGTGGCCAAGGGCCACAACAATAGCTTCAAGTACAAGCTCACTTGTAGAACAACGCAGAGAGGAATACTTAAGACTATTAAGGATGTAAGCTCACCAAAACGGCAAAAAGGACTTCAAGTGAAAATGGAGCCTTCAGAGAAATTCAAATGAAATTTGGCTAACTCATTTCAACAAACACTTACTTATTAATAAATTCACTTACCATCAGCTGCTCTGTTTGGTTTCAACAGGAAGAACATCATGCCTCCCCCACCCAGGATAAGCCCATCACAGAGACTGATTGAATTCTGACACTCAGCACCTCATTAGGCCCCTCACTAGCCTCTCTCCTCTGCCTGGAGGGTTGGAGGATGGAGCCATGAACCCACCCTCCTTCTTTTAGTGGATTATCTTTGCCTTTCCCAAGAAGGGGTAAGCACCAGGATGGTGGAGACTGTCATTCTTCTGGTTTGTATCCCCAGTGCCTGGCACACAGCTGATGCTTAATAAATGTTTACTGACTATTACAAAACATTCATACTAGGAGCAAGACACTGTGTGAGGTGCTGGGGATGCAAAGATGAAAATGAAACAATCCCTACCTTCCATGCACTTAGGTTTTGCTTGAGGAGACAAAATGTAATCTGAGGAGAGGGAGAACAATAACAACTAGAGGTGATCAGGACAGGCTTCACGCCAGAGGCAGTGCCAGAGATAAGCCAGCACTGAGGAAAGACTAGGATTCTGAGAGAGGAGGAGTTGGAAGGTTGACCAGGGAGTAGCTGCGGCCATTGCAGCTAGAAAAGAAGGGGAGTAATTTGAAGAAATAGGGCAGCTAGGTGTCAAGAGTAGACAGAACACTGGGCCTGGAGTCAGGAAGACTCATCTTCCTGAGTTCAAATCTAACTTTGGACACTTACTAACTGTGTGACCCTGGGCAAATCAGTTAATCCTATTTACCTTAGTTTCCTTATCTGTCAAATGAGCTGAAGAAGGAAATGGCAAACCACTCTAGTATCTTTGCCAAGAAAACCCCAAATGACATCACAAAGAGCTGGACACAAATGAAACAACTGAACAATAAATGTTTATTGCTTGATTGAGAAGAAAAATTAAGTCCCAGAGAGATCATATGGTCATATGGCTAGAAAATATATCTAGGCAAGATTGGAACTTAAATGTCTACTGTGACATTTTTTCCACTATATGATCCTCTTTCTTTCAGGCCTGTGGTAGGGCTTTGTGGGACTGGGAACAGAGAGAAGGAGACAAAGAGAAATGTTGGAATCACAGTAGGCACTATTTTGTTTTTTTTAAATGATTGCTAGATTGACAATTCACAGCTAGTAAGAAGTACATTACTCAGGCTAAGGGTTAACTAGGCCCTTTGTTTTCATCCTTTTTTTCCTTCTATATTACCTAACTTTTGGTCATTTAATTGCTCGTTAGCACTTCTGCCAGGAGAACAAAGATATGAGATGTTAAGCATGCTCAGCAAACATAAGGTATTTACAATAAAACATCTAGTCACAAAATGCTCAGTGAGCTAGGGAGAAGGAGACTGTACAGTCAATTTTAACCTTCAGGAAAGTAAAGCAGAAAACTGTTTTGATTCTTATTGCTGAAAACGTCTCTACTAAGACAGATAAGGAATGCCCAATCAGTGACTGATATGTGCCTTCCCTAACTGAGGTTAGTGCCTCAAGGGGATCATTAGAAAGAGGCATCCCTACCACTGCCCAGGCCTGTGGGGAGGTAAGGGATTAGGCTGAAGAGGCACTAGCCTAGGACACACCCAGAAAGTTGCTTTCTGAGAGAAGTTATTATCTCTCTCTCATATTAATAAATTGTTGAATTAAGATCAGGATTTTTTCAGAAGCCTGCAGATTGTTCAGTCTTTGAAGGACACTGATAATGATGAGACCGAATTAACTTTCTTGACAATGTTGTTTAGATCCCACACAAGTGGAGAAGCCCATGGTGCCCTGCTTAAGTCTAGGTGGAGGTAAATTCTTTTCATTAAATTGCCCAAGGCAGGGGGTGATTTGGAAGTAAATGACATGATCAAAGTCATGTCCCTTAGCCTCTCTTTAGAATAGGTGTACCTCTGATTATAATACTCATTCTTTCTCATTATTTATTAACCAGAGTTAATTGGCACCCTCAAAATACCCACCCTTCCAAGGGCATATGAGCTTTGACTGGGTTCCATGAGGGGTCTTTGGCGTTTGAGTGTTACTGACCCCTTTTATTAATAATATGCTAGCATTACTAATAAAATGACTAATTACCCAGAAACTTGCCTCTTGAACCTCTTAAATGTCACATTTCTAAATAAAGTAACTGATACTTATTCCTTTCTTTCTAATTTGTCTCTCTTCTCAAAGTTAAGCACAACTGAATCAATAGTTTTAGCTGGGCAAGAGTTCTATATAACTGAATTTTCACTATTACTACTTTTTTTTTAAGCATCACCCTTGTGAAAAATCACATCGGGCCTGGTAAGAGCTCCATTAGGACTTGAAAGTGGAAAAGGAGGGGCACCTAGGTGGTGCAGTAGATAGAGCACTGGCCCTGAAGTCAGGAGGACCTGAGTCCAAATCCGGCCTCAGATCAAACACTTGACATTTACTAGCTGTGTGACCCTGGGCTTAACCTCAATTGCCTAACCTCACTTAACCTCAATTGCCCAAAAAAAAAAAAAAGGTGGAAAAGGTTGAAGCACTAAGGTAGAAGGAGGGTTTGGGATTCTCTGAAAAATTCAATGAACCAGAATCTACACCCACCTCTCATTAGCACAGTTCATGAATTTCATTTCTTCAGCCTCAGTGTGAGAGCAACCTCCTAGACCAGGGGTAGGGAACGTTTGGCCTGGAGGTCCTCGAGTCAAGTGCAGACTTTCGACTCAATCCAAACTTCACAGAACAAATCCCCTTAATAAAAGGATTTTGTTCTGTAAAACTTGGACTCAGTCAAAAGGCCACACCCAAGGACCTAGAAGGTCACATGTAGCCTGAGGCTGCAGGTTCCCCACCCCTGTCCAAGACATATAGGGAATAGGATGGTCCTGATGTAATCAATAGCTAAGGACTAGAAGATAATGTGATGAGACTGAAAGCTGAAACACTAGTGGTTTGGGGTTTTTTTCCCCATTTGTTGCCCACTTCGCCTGAATGCCTGTCAGGTGCCAGTGCTTATGGTTAAATAAACCAAAAATGACAGGAGTTTGGGAGGGAACATGTATCAATGCTGTCATGGTGCTAGATCAGTTCAAAACCGCTATAGACTCAGACAGAATCACAGAGTAAATGCATTTTAATGTGTATCTACAGCATCTTCCTCCACTAGACAGAAAACATCAGTTCTAGCTCCTTGGAATCTGGTGGTGGAATGGGATATTGTCCAACTGCTATCTCCACCAAAGAAAGCCCCACGCTTCAGCTAGGGGCAGCTAAGTGGTGCAGTGGATAGATAGTGCCAGGCCTGGAGTCAGAAAGACCTGAGTTCAAAACTGGCCTCAGATACATACTAGCTAAGTGACCCCAAGCAAGTCACTAAACCCTGTTTGCCTCAGTTTCCTCATTTGTAAAATGAGCTGGAGAAGGAAATGGCAAACCACTCCAGTATCTTTGCCAAGAAAATCCAAAACGCAGTCACAAAGAGTCAGACAGACCCAAACAACTGAACAACAAAAACTGCTAAACCCAAAGTTCAGCCCATGATGAAATACAGTGTCACTGCAGTGAGAGCATGATTATTAGTCAGGAAGGAGAAAGGAAAGACTAAAGCAGGTGAATAAATCCAAACCGAGGTTGGGGATGAAACCCAGCAAAGAAAGGCAGATATATAGAAGATAGATCAGTCATCATGAACTGTCTCTTCTGTCCAGGGGAGGAAAGAATGGCCAAAAGTAAGAAAGAAACCACTAACCAGTGATTCTAGATTCAAGTTCCCTTTCATCCAAGGGAGCCAGAACTTCCGCATTAAGTTTAAGTTCTTATTGACACATTGGCCTCCATAATTGGACCCTATTCCAGCTAGCCTATCTTTACGAAGCACCTCTGGATAATCTCCTGGAGACTGGTGGGACAGTGCTGAGCACAGCTGGGCTTTACTCTTGGCTCTGCTGTGTGGCCTGGAGAAGCACACTGGGAATCTCTCAGTCTACTCCAGATGATCTATGATTTATAAGACACTACCATTATTGACTAGAGATGTTCTAAAGGCTTCCTATTTGGAAAAGATTCTAGAATTATCGCCAGAGTCTAGTTAGTTCCAAAATAATTATTCATGAACCAGGCCAAGACTGCTGAGTAGAAGAATTTCAGTCTGCCCCAGACATCTCAACAACTCACTATTTACCCAGTAGTTATTTTGTTTTTTGCCCTTATTTTCCCACACTCCAAGACTTTGGAAATCATGCTGTATTTACCTCATTGACTATGTAATCCAGCAGCTCAAAAATAGCCATAGGTGGTCGACTATCCATTCCATAAGCTGCAAATTTTAGAGAAAGAAAAATGGGTTTATCAGATGAAGTCACTTTATCACTGTGTAACAAAACTCCCTGGGTAACATTCCCCTTGATAATAAAGACAAAAGTAAAGGTCAGAATATAGAACATACCTGTCTCAAGGAAAAGATGTCAAGGCAAGAATATGAGGGGGAAAGGACATGGGGATGGGAGGTGCAGAGGGGGTAGCTTGCTATGCAACAGGGGGAAAGACTATTGGTGGACTGAAGACTTCATGGGACAATAGCCCTCTTAGTTCCCAAACAGACTCATCATCGGATCTTCTCATCCAGGACCATTCTCATTAGATGTAGCAGCTCACAGCCACCTGTACTCTCAGGGTCAGATAAACTAGTCTCAACTATGACCTCTTTATGCCTTTCTTGCCATATACAGGCCCCTGTGGGGCTCCTGAAGCACTGCCCTCGTGAAAACAGGGATTATGTCAATCCCATCAGACTGGGAGATCTCAGTATAGCCCTGGGATTTGTTCCTGGTCTGGCAAAAAGTAAATGAAGAAGCTTCTGATGGGACAGAACCTCCCTTAATATCAGGTCCATTTGTGATCTATAAAAAATACTCTTAAGCTATGATGGAGAGCGTTTCACACAGAGTCTCCCAACTACCTGTCCCATAGTCTTGAACTGCACCCTAACCTGGCCTCTGGCGATTGCATCCTCTTACCACAATCTGGCTCTCCCTGTGTTGGAATATACCCGGGGAAGGGGTGGACCCCCTAAGGACTAGATCTGGAAGCAGGAAACTGGGGAAAAATCCTCACTTTGCTGCTTTTCCTACCTATGACCTTGGGAAAGTTACTCCTCTGGGCTTCCGTTTCATCATCATAAAACAACTCTATAAAGCAGTTACAGCAAGTATTGTCATTATCATTTTACTGATGAGGAAACTGAGGCCCCCCCAAAATTAAATGGCTTACCCAAGATGATACAGCTGGGTAAGTGTTCTCAGGCAGAATTTAACTCAGGAGATCTAACTCAAATTCAGTACTCTCTGTTTTGCCGCATTGCCTCATGTGTTCACAAATGAAGGGACTGGAATAGATATCCTTCATGGCTCCTGCCAGGTCTGTGATTCTATGATCGCCTGTCACTGGTGACAGACTTGATGTGATAGGAATATAACTTTTATCTTTGTCTCTCAAACACTGTCTTTGCAGTGACTGCAATGACACCTAGTACATAATAAACATTTAGTATGTTTGCTGTTTTGTCTGAATGAGGCCAAAGCCAGTTAGAGATTCCCTAATTCTGAGCAGCTAGACATTTCTGGGAAACTTACAGCTCAAAGGCCTCCCAGGAGTTCTTGGCCTTGGTGACGTCTCAGGAGCATCTCCCTCCATTGGACAGCCAAACATCAGTTCTAGCTCCTTGGAATCTGGTGGTGGAATGGGATATCGTCCAATTGCCATCTCCACCAAAGAAAGCCCCATGCTCCAGATGTCCGACTGTACTGAGTAGTGAGTTCCTTGGAGTCTTTCTGGCTGTATTAGATGGAGGGGAGAGAGAAACATCATTGTCATCATGAATAATAATATTAATAATTTTATGAAATATCCTAGCCCTAGTGAGAGAAGTGCTAACCCCAGGAACAAAAGACTGCTATTAAGAACTATCTAGGGGCAGCTAGGTGGAGCAACGGATAAAAGCACCAGCTCTGGAGTCCGGGGGACCTGAGTTCAAATCCCATCTCAGACATGTAACACTCACTAGCTATGTGACTATGGGCAAGTCACTTAACCCCAACTGCCTCACCAAAACAAACAAACAAACAAAAAAAACAACTATCTATGTTCACACTACCCCTATTCTCCTCTCTATAGCTAGGTATTTGACTTTTGATTTTTTTTTTTTAAAACTTCCCAGTACCAATTCAGGAAGAGATCTCACTTAAACAAGAAAGACACACAAGTTTCTATGACTGTGTAAAAGGCTGCCTCTATTAACAGGCTCAGTTCAGTCCTTTCTCTGCTACTACCCATTGATGTATTCCTGTTCTGTTCCTCCTTTGATGACCTTCAACATTCTGACCTCTGGCTATCTTCTCAACCTAAAATACTCTGCTCTGCTAGTCCTGATTGGTGCCGCCAACTCTGACTCATTAGTCTTCCTAACCTCAGTGTTCTGATTTGCTCCATTTTGGATCAGCTGACCAGCAGAAAATCTCAGAGCAGCCTTTGACATCGGTCACCTGTCAGATGTGTACCTTGAAAATGGCTTCCCCAGTCCTGGGCATCTGCTTTGCCTTTATAGCACCTCTTTGCCAATGGCCACACCATTTTAAAAGGTAAGAATTATTATGAAGAGTCATGCTGCCTGGGTTTTTCAGATGTATTTGGGTCTCAGAAGTGACAAAGGGGCCTAAAATTCTCTGAAGGGACACTGTATTGCAATGGAAGGAAGACTTTGAATCTTGGCTTCCTCACTGATAAAATAGGGCATAACATCTACTCTACTTAATTCACAGGACTGCTGAAAGAATTAAATAATAAACTGTAGTCCTCCCTCCCCAAAGAAAATGTAAGCTCCTTCAGGGCAAGTACTATTTCACTGTCTTTGCATCTTCAGCATTTAGTACAGTGCCAGGCACATAGTGGGTGCTTAATAAATGCTCACTGAAGGTACTTGGGAAGGTATTTTAAAAGAATACACCACCAGGAGGCAGTGTGGCATAGTAGTGAGTACCAGACTTGAGTCAGGAGACTTGACTTCAAATCTTGCCTCAAAACGCTTGACAGCTGTATCATTGTGAGGATGGGGATAACACCTGAAATACATAGTTGATAGGGATGTCGTAAAGGAAGCACTCTGCAAGCCTTTACATTCTCTTACACAAGCACACAAATTTAAAATGTTTTTTTTTAAATCTAGAAAATAACTTATCTTGACGATTATGCATTTTGATAACACTTTAACTTTTTCCATTAGATTCTCTCACAATTCCCATATGGTATTAGCTATGGTGAGACTGAGAAAATAACCATGAAAATACTGTCATCAAGTAAATGATTAAAAAAAAAAGATTCAATTCTTGGTCAATAAGGGTTTATGAACTGCAGTAATACAGATGAAGTGATGAAGGCCTAAATTAGGGGGGCAGCTGTGAGTGGATAGGTGGAGCCATCTATGAGAGATGTGGGAGAGATCAAAGCAACAAGACTTGGCAAGTGGCTGGATATGGAGGATGAGAATGAGGTACGAAGAATGACACAGAGGTTTTAAAGCTGGGTGACTGGAAAGACCGGGGTGCCCTGCATAGTTAATAGGGAAGTCTGGAGAAAGGATCAGTTTGTGGGAAAAACAATGAATTCAATTTCTGACATTTTGGGTTTCAGGTACCTATAGGCCACTGAGGTGGAAATGTCCAATAGATGGTTGGTTATGCAAGACTAGAGCTCAGGAAAGAGATCTGGGTTGGATACACAGATCAGGGAGTCATCTATACAGAAAGAACAGAATACACGGGTGCTAATGCGGTGATCAAATGAGAGACTAGAGAAAGGGCACCTAGGATAGAGCTTTGGGATATACCCAAAGTCAGTGTAAATGAAATGTGATAATGAATTAGTAACAAAAGAAAACACCCATTCCTATTTAAAAAAAAAAACACTAGAAAACGCAAGAATAAACAGAGCTTTTCTAAAAATTTCAACTAGTATCTATCTAAACCAAGAGCAAGCATTATCTATAATGGAGATAAACTAGAAGCCTTTCCAATAAGATCAGAGGTGAAGCAAGGATGTCCATTATCACCATTAATATTCAGTATTGTACTAAACTGCTACCTACAGCAATAAGCCAAGAAAAATAAATTGAAGGAATAAGCATAATCTCACTATTTGACAAAAATTGTAAAATAGACCAACATCTCACACCCAAACCAAGATAAGCTCAAAATGAGTACATGATTTGGACATAAAGTATGATAACACCAGCAAATTAAGGAAGCATGGAAGAAACTATCTGTCCGATCTTTGGATAGGAGAAGTGTTCATGACCAAACAAGAGATAAAGGGGTTCATAGGAGATAAGATAGAGAATTTTGATTACATAAAATTAAAATTTTGCACAAACAAAACCAATGTAGCCAAAATTGTAAGAAAAGCAGGAAACTGAGAAAAATTTTACAGTAAATTTCTATTAAAAAGGTCTCATTTCTCAAATATAGGGAACTATACAAAATTTATAAAAATAAGTCTCATTCCTCAAATAAAAAGTGGTCAAATGATATAAACAAGACAGTTGTCAGATAAAGAAATCAAAGCTATCAATGGTTATATGAAAAATGCTCTAAATCACTAATAATTAGAGAATCGAAAATTAAAACAACTCTGAGGCACCACCTCACACCCATCAGATGGCTAAGATGACAGAAAAGGAAAATGACAAATGCTGCAGGGGATGAGGAAAAATCAGGACACTAATGCACTGTTGGGGGAGCTATGAACCTGTCTAATCATTCTGGAGAACAATTTGGCACTATGCCAAAGGCTATTAAACTGTGCCTACCTTTTGACACAGCAATACTGCTACTACGTCTATACCAACCCAAGGAGATCAAAGAAAAGGGAAAAGTACCCATATGTACAAAAATGTTTAAAGCAACTCTTTTTGTGGTGGCAAAGAACTGAAAACTGAGGAGAAGCCCATCAATTGAGGAATGGCTGAACAAATTATGGTGTGTGAATGTGATAGAATTTTATTGTGTTGTAAGAAATGGTGAGGGAGGTAGTTTCAGAAAAACCTGGAAAGACTTTTATAAACTTATACAAAGTGAAGTGAGCAGAACCAGGACAACAACATATACATTAAGAGCAACATTTTAAAGAAAATCAACTGTGAAAGACTTAGTAACTCTGATTAATATAATGACCCACCACAATTCCAAAGGACTCATGATTTAAAATACTATCCATCTCCAGGCGGAACACTTCTGATGGATTCAGAGTACATAATGAAGCATGTTTTTTTCCCCTTTTTTTATTTCTCTTGCTTCCCCTCCCCACCCCTTGAACAAGGTTAATGCAGAAATGTTTTACATGACTTCATATGTATAATGGAGTGGGGTAAGGGAGAAAAATTGTAACAAAATGAAAATACAACTTTTTAAAATCTAAAAAAAGTGATGGAAAAATATTTTAAATGTATTGGGAAATTTTTACAAAAACTGAAAATATAATACAACATTTAAAACACCATTTAGTTTTTTTGGGGGGTGCGGGTGCACTAGGCAATGGGGTTAAGTGACTTGCCCAGGGTCACACAGCTAGTAAGTGTCAAGTGTCTGAGGCTGGATAGGTCCTCCTGACCCCAAGGCTGGTTCTCTATCCACAGGGTCACCTAGCTGCCCCTAAAATACCATTTGTTATATGGGATGGTTGTCTGGGAGAGGGGAGGGATACTGGGGGAAATTATAAGATGTAAAAAACAGGCGACATCAATAAAAACTTTTTTTTCTTCTTAAAGAATCTACTAGGGCAAAATAAAAGGATTGCCTTCCCTACAGTAGAGGCCTAGCAGAGATTGGATCCAGTTAGCATGGCTGCTGGCTGCTGGCTGCTTCCTCTTCATGATGGTACAAGGGAGCAAGGGAATAGAGGACAAGGGATAGGATAGACTTTAAGGAGTTGAAATTGGGAGGGGAGGGGAGGAAAACAGGTATGAAGGTCTGGTAAAACACAGGGGTGGAGGAGTAAGTTTGGGAGGAGTAATGTAGAAGGAGAGATTGAATTAGACTGTGATTAAATAATTCTCACCCAGTTGTAGTGGATGTTTATTCTGTTCCATTGTGCATTATAATAGCTTGTGTATTGCATGGATCATACAGCTAAACAGGACCTCAGAAGTCACCTAATCAAGTACCTAACTTAGAGATCCTCTTTGTACTTGTGTTTTTTCTGATCTTACTCTTTTTTTTTTTTTTTTTTGGTAGGCAATTGGGGTTAAGTGACTTGCCCAGGGTCACACAGCTAGTAAGTGTTAAATGTTTGGTCTAAGGCTGGATTTGAACTCAGGTCCTCCTGACTTCAGGGCTGGTGCTCTCTCCACTGCGCCACCTAGCTGCCCCTCTGATCTTACTCTTTAACGTGTTTTCCCTGAATATAATGCAAAGTCCCCAAAGGCAACAATAGTGGAACCTCATTCTATGGTCTCTTTGGGAAGCAGGAGTCCTGCCCCCCAAACCAAGAACTTCCAAAAGTAAGGACACTCAGTACAGGGCTCTCTGGTTTCCCAAGGGATGATCAGTTGCAGTTCCTGACTGAGAGCCCTGGGCCAGAAGCCGAAGCAAATTAACCAGCAGTCCATACCGACATATAGGACCTTGTGCCCACAAAAGAGTTAGCCATGGAATCAATCAGCTGCCCACTGACGCCAAAGTCACAAAGTTTGATTTCCCCGCGTGAGTTCACCAAGATGTTGGACGGCTTGACATCTATGGGGGGAAAAGACAAAAAGAGAAAACTGTAAATATGATAGTGAAGAAGCCAGACCACCTCAAGGTGACTACCATTGCTCAAAGGAACTCAGCGACATTCCTAAAAATCAATGATCAGAAACAAAAATGGATCCTCTGAGTGATCCTTCCCGTGGTCTTATATCAGAAACTTCTGAAAGATAAGAATCCTTTGTTTTTACAGCTCTATTGAGAAGTCTGACTTGGAAGAACTAAAGAAAGGAATTCATTAATTCTAGCAAAAACATGTCTATCAGCTTTGTTTTTAAAAGCATTACTGTTAATGAAACAAAGTATCTCTTGTTTTTTTGAAAAAAATATAAAGAAAAAAATCACCCAGACAGCCTGACCCTTTTGGTAAAGGACCTTTTCTTCACTGTTGCTGGTACTACTAAATACAACTTTCTATTGGGATACCCCTTTTTCACTTTTTTTTTTTTTTAGGCAATTGGGGTTAAGTGACTTGCCCAGGGTCACACGGCTAGTAAGTGTCAAGTGTTTGGTCTGGGGCCGGATTTGAACTCAGGTCCTCCTGACTCCAGGGCCGGCGCTCTATCCACTGCGCCACTTAGCTGCCCTCCTTTTTCACTTTTCAAAGTCCCTTTCACATTTATTATGTCATTCAGTCAAGGCGGGCAGAGTGTTATCCCAACTCTCAGCTCAGGCTTCCTTTTGTCCAACCATGCTACTGTAAGTCAAGCAGTGAGGTAAATAGTCCCAAGCTACATGGGATCAGAGAGTAGGCTCCATATACAGGGTGTCTCAAACATCTTGGTACAATTTTAAGCTAAAATAATTCAAATATCCAGTATGTGGATATGGCACCTATGGTTTTTTTTTGTTTGTTTGTTTGTTTTTTTAGGCAATGGGGTAAAGTGACTTGCCCAGGGTCACACAGCTAGTAAGTGTCAAGTGTTTGGTCTGAGGACGGATTTGAACTCAGGTCCTCCTGACTTCAGGGCTGGTGCTCTACCCACTGAGCCACCTAGCCGCCCCCAGGCACCTATGGTTTTAATACATCCCCTACATTCCCAACATCTATGTCTTGCTTCAACATCTAGGTTGTGAAGCAACATTAATTTTGGAAAGTTTACACAGGTTTCTCCAGAGTGAAAAAGGAAAACAAGAACCCTGGGTTGACAGAATATATGGAATTTACCTGGTAGAAACACTGACAATACACACACATCATCCAGGTGTAAGGAATCACAAAATCAAATCCCATTTCTAGTGCACAACTACCCTTCTTCTATCTACAAATTAACCAGCTAACTCTACTAGAATGCAGATCAATTTGAGTGATACAGAAGAAAAACGAATATTGTGGAGCATCCTCCAGTTCTCAAGAAGGTGGTAATGTAGTTGGAATAACAGGAGAATAATTAAGTGTTAAATAACGGGATTTTGACTCAGTACAAAAGGTACCCAGAGAAGAGAGAGGAGTTGGGCTGGATTAGCAGGAAAGGCTTCTTAGGGAGCTAAGATTTAAATCAGACTCTGAAGCAGACATTCTTAACCTTTTTTGTGTCATGGGCCCTTTGGCAGTGTGATGAAGCCTATGGACAGACCCATTCTGACAATGTTTTCAATGCATAAAATAAAATACATAGGCTTAAAAAGTAAACCAGTTATACTGAAATACAGTTATAAAAAGTTTTTAAAACAAGCTCATGAACTGAAGTAACAAACCTCTGAAGGAGGAATAGAATTTACATTTTATTGTTGCCTTTTGTTTTTTACACCACAGTCAATTCTGGGTATGTACTACTCCCCACCTTCTTACCCTCAAGTGAAACAAAGAAAAAAATTATTATGCAAAACCCATCTACCCACAGGGGATGGTATCTAATAGCATGTACAATATCCCACACCTATTGTTCCCAGCCTCTTGAACAAAAGGAACAAAGTACATTCATTATATCTCCTCTGGGGTCACGACTGGTGGTCATTCTAATTCCACAGCATTTAGTTTCATTTCTTTGTTATTTTCATTCACATGTTGCAGTTCCTGACCCCAAGGAGCTTATATTCCATCAGGAATGAGCATGGCATGTTGGGGGACAATGGTGAAACTATCTTAAAGTGTGTATATTAAACAACAGCAGGAGATAAGGTTGTACAGATAGGATAGGAATAGATTATGGGAGCCTTGCATGCCAGGCAGGGCAGTTTAAACTTGAAATAGTAAGCAATAGGGAAGCCTGACAACAGATTCTTTTCCAATGATCTTTCTGTGGCCCTTTTCTCTCTCTACACTCTCCCTGAGCAGTCTCACTCCCATATACTGTAGTTACTTCTGCAGATGATAAGCTTCTCAAGTCTTTATCTCCAGTCTATCCAGACACATCTGCAACTGTCTACAGGGCAGCTAGACCTAGATGTCCCACCAGAATCTCAAACTCATCATTTCTTAAACTGAGCTCATTATCTTTCCTCTTAAATCTGCTTCTCCTTTTGGCTTCGCTTATATTCACTTAATCTACCATGTTTGAAATCCTGCATTTATCTTTGAGTCTTTATTTCTCTCTCACCTGTCACATTCAGTTATCAAATCCTACCTTTGAAACAAATCTCGCATCTGTGGCTCTGTCCCTGTCTCTCTTTCTAAATACTGTGAGAAATGCAAGATGCTGCCCTTGTCCTCAATCACCTGAGCTAAGGAAAGTAATACACTTAACAATTAGATATACTGTAAGACAGTATGTAACCAGGTATCAAATTGTATAGTGAAACTACACGGTTCTCCCTTGTATGTTAAAAAATAAAAAAAAGCATCCTTTACAGAAGTAAATTTCTCACGAGTCAAATGGTAAAGGAAATCTCCAATGCCAGCCATATCTCTTCTCCCATACCTTTTCTCTTTATAAATTAAACCTGACTCACAGCTAACTATTACCTCTAGGCTGATGACCCTCAAATCTATTATATCTGACCCTGGCCTCCATATAGTAGAGCTCTACTTGAATATTCTATCACTTCAAACAAAAATTTATCAGAAAAAGTCAAATTACTCATTATAGAATGTTAAAACAGGAAGGAAACTTAAGAGATCACTTAGTCTAATCTCTTTATTTTACAGATGAGGAAAATGAGGCCCATAGGGGGTAAGTCATTTGCCCATGGTCACCTTAGCTGGTTAGTGGCAGTGCTGGGATTAGGGTCATCCCAACTTCCCGATTCCCAGTCTAATGCTGCCCACACCAACTTTCCCACTTCTGTGAAGGCTGCCACTATTCTCTCAGTTAGGCTTGAAACTTTTAAATTATCTTTGATACATTCATCTTTTTTATCCTTTATAACCTATATCCAATAACCTACTCCAGGTTTCCAACACCTCACTACTTAGATCCATCAATCAGCTTCTGACCTCAGGTCCTTTCCCCACACCTATTAAGCATCAATTATATTAGGACAGCAAAGGTAAATGACAAATGCAGGAGGGGCTATGGGAAAAATGAGACATTAATGCACTGCTGGTGGAGTTGTGAACTGATTCAACCATTCTGTGATACAATTTAGAACTATGCTCAAAGGGCTATAAAACCATGCATACCCTTTCACCTAGCAATACCACTACTAGGTCGGTATCCCAAAAGAGATTAAAAAAAAAAAGGAAAAGGACCTATATGTACAAAAATATTTACAGCAGCTCTTTTGTGTGGTCAAAGAATTAGAAATTGAGGGGTTGCCCATCAATAGGGGAATGGCTGAACAAATTATAGTATGTGATTATGATGGAATACTCTTGTACTATAAGAAATGATGAGCAGGATGCTCTCATAAAAACCTGGAAAGACTTATTTATATGAGCTGATGCAAAGTGAAATGCACTATGTACAAAGCAACAGCAATACTGTAAGATGATCAACTGTGAATGACTTAGCTATTCTCAGCAATACAATGATCCAAGACAGCTCTGAAGGACTTATGACGAAAAATGCTATCATCCCCAGAAAAAGAACTGATGGTGTCTGAATACTGATTGAAGCATCCTTTTTTTTTTAAACTTTATTTTTCTTAAGGTTTTTTTTTTCTTGTTTCTTGTACTATATTACTTTCACAACATGACCATTATGGAAATGTTTTGCATGATTACACATGCATAACCTATATTGAATTGCTTGCCTTTTCAATGAGGGGGTGGGATATTGAGGGAGGAAGGGAGAGAATCTGGAACTCAAAGTTTTAAAAAACGAATGTTAAATATTGTTTTTACACATAACTGGGGTAAAATAAAATACTAATTTTTTTTTAAAAAGCACCAATTATTAACACATACAAATCAGAATAAGACTATCAAGGCATACAAATACAAAGGATGAAACCATTTCTCTCCTCAAAGAGCTTCTACTCTAACAGGAAAGACAACAAAGACATCTATAAGTATAGACCAAATAAATATAAAGGGAATAAATACAAATCAGTTAAATAGAGAGGAAGGGCACTAGCAGTTAAGGAGATCAGGACAAGATTCATGTAGAAGGTGGTGGTTGAACTGAATCTTGAAGGAAGAGAGAGATTTTTTTGACACACAGGTGAGGAGGTAGTGTATTCTTGGCACAGGAAAGGGCCAGTACTAAGGCAGGGAGATGGGAGATGGAGTGTAAGGAACAGAGAGAAGGCCAGTTTAGCAGTATAGCATGGTATGGAATAAGGAATAATGGCCAATGAGACTGCAAAGATAGACTGGGGCTAGACTTATGAGGGACTATTTTAAAAAGCTAAACAAAGGAGTTTATATTTGATCCTTGAGTTAATACAGTACCACTGTAGTTAACTGGGGAGTGAAATGGTCAGATCTACACTTAAGGAAACATCACACTGGCAGCAATATGAAGGATGGCTTGGAGTAGGGCAGACTTGAGGAAGAAGACCAATTAGGAGGCTGTTGGCAATAATCTAGGACAGAGGCAATGAAGGCCTGGACTAATATGGTAGCTGTGTTGAATGGAAAGAAGGTAGAAGAAAGAACAAAATGT